GGCAGAGATATTCGATTTCGGCCTCGCTTATTTCAACAGGTTTGCCAGGTCGTGACCCTCTTACTGCTACTAACCTCTCAATAAGAGCATCCAAGTTCACGGTGTCCTCCTCTACCATGGTGTTGACTAAGGATCTATAAGCAGCTGCGATACCAAGGGACTCCATCTATCGGCAGCAATTATTGGCGGGAAAGTCTGGGGAAGATGGAGAATCTAATCCCTAAACAACAGGTATAAATACAATCGGGGAATAGAATCTCAGAGAAACTTCTGAGTTTTCCAAGCCAAAATGATTTCCATTCCACCGGGTTGATCCGCTTGTGATCATGTTCTTTGTGAAAGATTTGACAATCTCAATTGCTTGTTGACGATATGGGCTAGTCACGTAAATGGCTGCTCGGAGAACCCCAAGGCCTTCTGTAAACGCGCTCACATTGGTACCAAATGAGAATAGAAACAAATTAAGATTCATCTTAGTTTCAAGGTGAACTCCGACTAGAATGTCGGAGTTGAGCCTAGCCAATCATGATTGGCAGATTCTCACAGGAGGTTCCCAATGCCGCCACCCCTAGTTATCCCGCGGACAGGGTTCTATAACAAGTAGTTTCTGCCTATTCAAAGTATTCCGGAACAGTTTCGTTGTCCATGCACTACATTCAAGTATCTCTTTTTATAAACTCTCGATATTAGCTTGCATTTACCATTTCTACTTACACGTAGTCTTCTTCGGCGAAGCAATGATAGTTGACATTACGAGTAGGCCAAATAAGCAGTCGAAGCCAAAGGGATTGGACCATCAGCATACCCGGAACTTGGACGCATTGATCGAGAAATTGATGAACTGTATAACCTTGTCGGAGGATGATATAGAGCGAGTATTCGATCAGGTACACTGTCAATAGCCTTTATGACCAAGCCATTGTTGACATTCTGCAGCCGAACACGGAGTCGGACCAAAAATGTACCATAGTTAGATATTTGCCGTATGGTTCTACCTGTGACGGCTTCGAGGATGATCGGTTGCCCAATCGGGGAATACATGCCGCAGGGCAATTAGACATTTTTAAAAATAGTAAAAGGTTATGCGCGTGCGAATACATGGAAGTTATGATAGACTAGTTGGTTTAAACTAGACTTGAGTGATGCAATAGAAGGTTGTGCTGGAGTAATGTCAGAAAATGCATCCTTTCATTGTCTCCAATTTTATGATCATCTAATCATACTTCTAGGTTCACTAATATCTGATGGTTAGGATATCTTTTACTCAAAGAGGCATCTTGTGTATGGTATTACATGGGTGACCGAATGAGGCAGGAGCTACGTTATGGATCCAATATGTGGTTCAGTCTTAGTGATTACTCCCCATAACCCGCATTGCTTGGCGAAGTAGTGACGCCGAAACTACACACGTATCCAGGGGACTCTCTCACACAATTTGATGAATTTTTGCGTCAATTTCGAGCGTTCACCTCTGTTGGCGTTTTGCCTCTCACCTGGGTTTGCCTAAAGAATGAGGCGATGGTGAGTAGTAGCCTTTGAAGCCGTATGTGAACCTAGATGCGGGCTTGGCAGGAGACTTAGATGGTGGCTTAGACCGAGCCTATATAGCCTAAATGCAGCCTTAATTTGTGGATATATTGAGGTGAGTCGCCGTGTACCGCAAATCTTGTACCTAAAACTTCTCGGCCTCGGATTACTTTTGCGGGTGACTGACGAATACACCAGACTGTACGTCACTCATGATGGCCACTACGGCAGGATTTATCCATACCGTGCTGCCTTTCGATGGACACTACATTCGGCTTCTCAAATTCGAGTCTACTGCCCCTGAAGAACCTCTCAGACTTTCTCTCAAGACATGCAAATTCGCAGAGAAACCCAACCACAACAGCCTCTCTTATGAATGGGGAACCACCGCAGCTGACCAACCGATCCTCGTCAACAATCGGCTCTTCTTCATCCGGGAGAATCTGTACAACTTCACGAAGGTATTAGCCAGCAGTGCTTACAGAGACACTTATTTCTTCGTGGACGCAATCTGTATCAATCAGAATGACATCTCCGAGCGTAACACCCAAGTCCAGCGAATGGGCCATCTTTTTGCAGAGGCAGAAAATGTGCTGGTCTGGCTTGGATCAGCCACAGCCGAGAGCGATCTCATCTTTGATGTATGCATTGATTTGGTAGTGAACAAAATCATCGTCCCAACTAAGCTGGGGAAGAATAAGGCACAAATCGACGCCCTGGATACGATATACCAACGGTCCTACTGGACCAGGCTGTGGATAATCCAGGAGCTATTCCTGGCACGAAACATCATCTTATTTTGTGGATCAAAATCGACAGCGTGGTCGGCCTTTAAGCAGCTACCGAGGTGGAACAAGCGCGAGTTTGCCCTTGGAGGCTTTACGGGAGTTGATATGGTTCTTGAGAGCACACCAGCAGGTCACCATGCAAGGGATATCCTAGATGAGTTGGACAAGAGGGACCAAGGAAGAAGCACTTTTACAAGAATAGGGCTTGTGGACCTGATTCTGAAATTTGGTCTGGCTCAATGTTCCGACGTTCGCGATCATGTCTATGGCCTACTTGGTCTCGCTACTGCATCTTGTGCATTAAGCAGAGACGAGGAAGATCGACGATTTGAGGTCATTGTGGATTATTCGGAGAGCCCAATGTGCCTATTCGTGCGCCTTCTGCGTACCATGCCGCGTGAACTCCGTATTGGAGCCGCACTGGAGCTCTTCAACATCCTGGAGTTGCAGCGTGCTCCTGAAAGTGCGATTATTGGAAGCATTCCAGATACAGGCTTGAGTCAATCTTTCGAGATCAGCTTCACCCATATAGGACATCTCAGGAATGTGACTCAGTACTCTGACAAGTCCTTGCACCAACTGCTGGCAGGAAAAGATTTCGCGCAGATACAAAAAGGCGAAAGGCAAAACGCTATGGCAATCTATGGCGGTGGGCCTCTATATAGTATCATGTCGTATGACAGCTGTGTAACTGCGTCTGGCGCTTCTGGAGGGGATGATGTCTTTCTTGCGGAAGATACCAACTTCGTCCTAATCCGAAATTATAATGAATGGGGCGGTACGTCGGGTTACATCCGAGGTCTTCTCTGCAGCAGAAAAAGCGAGCAAAGTATCCAGAGAGCAGGCGAATCTCTCGATAGCTTCCTCTCCTATTTACCGCCTATCAATGGTAATTGTCTTAGGTCTGAGAGGCATACGATGTTCAAGCTGGCGGGTCCGGTTGACTTTATCTATGAAGAGCTGAGCTTGCGACAGATCATCATGCTCCTTACATATACCGGACAACATAGTGATTATTGGAGTCGGCGGTTAGAGGTTTCTACTAGATAACTAATGAGCATCAGCATGGCCTAACTTTGACTGCCTATTCATATACTATCAACGGCCAGTTTTTTGACCGGCACATTTGAAAATCTGTCCAAAATTAGGTGCTGCTCCCATATCCTTGTTGAATCGATTTCATCAGGGTTGCAAAGTTCACGAGCGGAGGCGGGTGTGGAGGAATCCGGCTGATGTAGTGGTATTAACGCCCCCTTATCTCAATGCGCTTGCCGTTGTGGTGGGTCCCATAAACAGTAAGTATTGATCGATGATTCCACGAAGTATCAACGCAGCCAACGCACTCACAGGTCCTTCAAACAGCCGGCTGCAGCTACACACACAGACTTCTGATTTCACCCGCACGTCACTCTGGTATGGTATCCGCCAGGTTGACCTGGGTCGGTGGGCATAACACTTTTGTCATTTCCTTCGTGGTGTCGACACACTTACCGATTACAAAGGTTCCTAACTACTATGTTACTGCTTATGATGGAACAAATTTTTCTTCTTCTTCTACATATCACACAGACCCACCAACGACGAAGGTAGACCTTGTCCTCGCCATCGCCTACTTGTACGGTGTTTACGCTGCAATCTACCAGAGTTGACACGATAATTTACTTCCATTGGCATCTTCCTTAGACATAGTCGAGGTCATCTGTTCGTGCTTTTGGTTCCGGAAGGTACTTCATACCAATAGTACGACCCAAACGACACCCGCTACTCACAAATCGCTCGATAAGAATATCGGCTAACCCCTTGGCTCCTTTCTACCATGGCTTCTTCAGCGCGTACGGCCGACGGCAAGCCGTTTTCCCGATTGATACTAAAACAGATAAGTAAACAAGCCAAGTACCATTTCTTTACACTTATAGATTGTGTGTTTCGGCAAAATCGACTGGAAACGCCACAGCGAAGCATACCGCCGGAGTTGATTGAAAAAATATTGGAGCTGCTGTCCATCCCCGACCAGATCTTCTTTGGGTTGAGTTGCAAATATATCTTCGCTTGTCTGATACCTTAAGACACAAGGAATGAAACTTCACCAGCTTTCACGCCCGAAGAACGGGTGATGCTATGCCCCAACACTAAGGAAAGGCCTCGAATACAGCTACTTCTTCAGCTTCACAATTACCGCTAGAGATATTGCCATGATTGTTGGACGCTCCACCCAAGTGCTTTCTGTCACGTCCGGCCGCAAAAGCCATGCTGTTTCAAATGTTACTCCCTTAAAGCAGATTTTCAATGCACGCCGTATGCGGGCGAGGTCGGAATTTGTAGCAGGCCGTTTATTCAAAGTTCACTCTCGCGAGATGCGATGAGCCAAGACTTTACCCTGTTTACTCGCAAAAGCTGAATACCCGGCGTACCTTCTCATAAGTGACACCAATCCACAAGAAGAAGGTTTGAGCTACGGCATGACCGAGCGCAGACCCGTCGATCCTCGGACCGCTATCCGGAAGGTACTCTGGGATAGAGTGGCAAAATAGTGCCATGCATGACAATTCCGGCCCCATCCTCGCTTTCCGGTAATACGGAAAGAAGGCGCCCTGCCTGAAATATAACATCGGTGTATACACTTAAAAGAATGCACTCCAAACTAAACACCGATCTGTCCTCTAGATCGTCACTATCGGGGCCAAAATGAATTCAGATATTTTCCCTGAACCACCATCCGATACCATCGGTAAGTCTCATACCCCAGTCCCCCTTATTAAGGACTCCGTACTCCGATGCGGTGCGCTAACCGGTCCGACAGATTGGTCTTCCCTTGGAAGCCAAGGCGTAGAATGTACGTTGTCTCTGTCGCTGACGGCCATGCAAGTCATGAACTTATAGCATCGGAGCTAAAATTTACTACAACTGATATAGTTCCCACTTCTCATGTGGAATGCACCTACTCCCCTACAACAAGCTCCTGGAGCGCACCCACAGTGATCAACAACCCAAATCTTCAAATCAACGGCTTCGCAGTGGGACTAAACTACGGAGGACCATATTATGAGTCCCTTACCGGTAATTTATTACATTTCTCTCTTCCCACCAAAGTAACTCAGCATACTGATTTCGGCTTTTGCTATAAGCCCGACGTACGCGAGATGACCGCATCCTTCTCTTCCGGCCCCACGATCATGCCCGTCACTTAGCAGATGCTGCAGCGGCGGTAGGCATGACGGCTGTCCCCGAGCACATCTTCCTAGAGTGTGTTAGGAAGGCAGTAGCAATCAATAATTCCTATGTACCTCCGCCTCAGACAGATGCGGTCCTCTATATTCGCCCGTTTCTGTTTGGCCCTAGTGTTCCTCGCATTCGCGATTCTCCGGCGCAGTATACATTCTGTGTGTTTGTGCGTCCAGGTGTGGTGTATCCGCGGACAGCGGCGCAGAATACAATAGTCCTGGGCGATGGTGGTGCTGATGATGTTCCCACTGCAGCGGAGACCCGGAAATGCTCTCGAACTGAAATTTGGGATGAGGGGTGGAAAAGGGGTTTGGGGGGTACAGGGCAGATAGATGGTCGACAGGCAGAACGGGATGGTTATACTATGAAGCTACAGCTGGAAAACACCCGACATGGGTCATTCATCAACGGGTTCACAGCGTCCGCATTTATTGGGGTGCAGGAAGAGCACGGTAGATTTACGTTGATGGTGCCGAGACATCCCAGCCGGAGCATCATTAGTGATTCTTGCGTTGCAATTGCTATACAACTTGGGTGGAAGGTGAAGATTGGGCCGGTATGTATTCTGCTGAACTCATGGATACCCTCGAACTCTTGGTTATTATTCTGCTGCCAGTGGAGTAACTACAAGGACTGGCGCTAATTCGATGCCGTTGCAGATTTCGGTCGATGACATCGATACCCTGTCCGAAGTCATTGGCACCAGTACATGGCACTGGCTGCTCCCCATTCGACTGATATTCTGTCCATCGGCCCGGCAGACAGTAGTGTACCAAGCTGGGTCTCATTAGGCAGGACCTGGGTGTCGACTGCTGCGCATTGCTATTGGAAAAATCATGGGTGGGGAAGTCTCGGACATATGGCAATGGTGTGTGCCACTGATGAAGGCGGATCAATCTCCTGGCTGAACGGTGGCATGAGTGGAATACGGGTAGATCTAGGCGCATTAACACGCTCCTCGCCGTTTGGAGTCGAGCTGGAATCCCATTCCTCTTTTTTTCTCCGTCACTGGAAGATGCCACGGGGGCCATTGATTACCGTGGTCTAGCTAGCTTTTCCTCAGCTGGTGCTTACCGTCTCCGTTTAAGAGGGCTCATGTAGGTGTTTCCTTCCCAGACCCCTAAAGAGTTAGATTTTATCCTCATTTCGTTCAATTCGGTAGATGGCATGGTATCTGGGCCCTTACAAATCATTCGGTGTTCAATGCTAAAATGCATCACGGCGATACTCGTGCAGCAGCCTGTCCTACATCAGTTTGCAACTGTCCTGGAGTTCCCTCCCACTGGTATTCGATAGATGTCCTAGTTGTAAATGATACTCGTATAGGTGATTACTCGCACGTGTATGGCCACCGGTCGGGTTCGCGAGGTTTGGGCCATATCGGCATCGCCAGTCGAGCCATGCGAACATCCTTTGGGAAACCTCGAGCTAGCAACCGCTGGCGAACGTCATGCAGAGTCAATTTCCACAATTGTTTCTCCTCTGAGATGGACGGGCCAGAAGGGTTACTCTGAGTCTTGGACAGTGTTGTTTGTATCAGAGAGAGAGGAAGAGAATGAGCACGAAACACCGAGTTGGTATTTCGACTAATTGTCATCCGGTAGGCGACCGAAAGCACCGCAGATCAGAGGGCGGTACGAACGAGGAGCTGTTCTGGACCGGGCGTTGGAATAGGCCAACCCCTGTGAAAATAGTATCTTTGGCGCTGTCCTCGACCAGGGTATATGGGGCCGCGGCTGAGAATCACGGCCAGGCCCGACTCTAAGAAGTGGCTGGCTATGGTCTTCCCAGTCCGATCTAGGTGGCGTTCAATAGTAGATGACCGGATGAAATTGGAGACGGGCATTTAAACACCGACTCCTTGTTTATACTTACCTTCTAAAGGAGGTGTGTGCGTGGCGTGAATAGCATCCATGCATTGGGGTGTGCCCGGTCATCCAACCTGCATGGTAAATGTAACGTTGGTCCGGGATGATTCATATAGTGCTTCGGTCGGCGCAGCACTTAAAATTGATAGTCGCTTTAAAAAACCTTGGCTCATTCAGGTGCGCATGTCCGGGTAATTGGCTTGGGGAGCTCCCAGGGAGCCTGCCCATCGCACGTTTGTGGGGTTCTGTGGCCTTTCGAAGCCCGGCGACAGATAGTTTATGTCTGTGGACAAACCCGGCTTGAACCAAAGGACACCTCGACCGGTGACTACTAGAAACACGTTAGGGATGGCAAGCCGCTCTCACTAGCGACCAACGTCATACAGCAGATTATTATCAATCAAACATTCCAGGTACCTGCGAGTCTGGCCAAGCCCGCCAATAGCGCCGAATGGGCACAGTTGCCCGTCGGTACATGCAATCCACGCCTGTCTCTCCGTCTGCCGTTCGATTGGTGGAGGGCGAGCAGGTTGCCTCTAATGCTAACCTCATTGGATGGTAAATCTCTCAACCATCTGTCATTACAAGAACATCTCTCTCGTGTGCGATGTTCGGAGATAGGCGATGCACTCCTGCAGTGACTGTACCCACCGTACCAAATACGAAGAGGCAGGCTGCCCTGGCAGGAACTAGACCCCGCCTTCCTCCCTTTCTCTCTGTCGCGATCAATCATCCCATATACTTGTTTTGCATTCATAGGAATTTGCGCCTGTGTTGCGTAGATATATTCTCGTTCTTTGCTTTTTGCCCTCACAACCGACCAATCCCAGAAAGACCACTTTGGGGATTTGGAAGGCTTTGGTGATGGCACAATGATCGAAGTGCAGAGGCATATGACACTCATGTTGGACTTGGTGGGGCGGAATCGGCCGAGAACTATCCCAGATTATACTTGTGAGCAACCAAATCCCGAGAGGGGAAGTGTGAAGGGTCGGAAGGTGCATACCCTGTTCCATGTTCTCGTGCCAAAGGTAGTACGCAACTCCCCCAAAGTGGCAGTGCCCGCCTTTTATAGGCCTGCTGTTCATCTTCTGATTGCGTCTTCGATGGGACTCTTTGCGTGATCGTGCAGTCAACAGATATCTACTGTGCCGTGACTGAAGTCACGAGGCATCATGAGTGGAATTCGCAAGGGTATTACACGACGAAGAGGCGCCTGCGAGCCGTGCAAGGCGCGGAAGACTAGATGTCAGTTCCCGGCGATGTCCCTCCTCTTGCTATCTTCCTTACTTGCCTCTTCCGACATAGTGAATCGTGACACTTTGCAATATAGCGTGATTCCACTCCTTTTTTGTTCTCAAGCTGACCAAAACTCAACACTGTAGGTGATGGAGGTAGTCCTTGCATGCACTGTCGGGTAAGTTCCTATCTTGTCTTCCAAGTCATTCCGTACGCATGTCTTTATCCTGACAACACAGCTCCCAGAGGAGGGATAGCCCTTGCATCTATCCACAAGGTCCAGCATCAGCAAGATCCATCCCCACCCCTTCGCGGCTCAGTCCTGCCTTGAGTCTAGTCGAGCGTGACCCAGATCTGCCGTTACAGCACTCAATCAGCCCTCAAGGATGGATGGAGACAATTGCTCCGGGTCCTTTAGACTTGTGCTGTTGGGAACTTCCCGATGTATCATTCAACCCTTGCCCAGACTGGTCAGCTGATGGCTCGGTCCTAGGAGGTCCATCCGAATCCGAGACAAGCCCTGCTACTCTTCCTCCGCCTTATGGTGAGCCATCAGCGACCAGTTTAAATTATGAACAAGGAGGTGACGGAACATTTTCTATCCATATGGTAAGGTTGCATTAGATCGTGGGACTAACGTTGCAGCCAAAGCTGATTTCTGACAGCTGCAAAAGGAGTTCCAAAGTACGGTGATCCCCGCAACTTTCGATTCCCACTGGCATACTAATCAAGTACATTAGCTCGCCAAGTAACTTCAGGCTTCGACATTCCGGCACTGTATTCCTTCCCACCCGTCCTCGATGGCGATCATTTACGCCGCGAAAAGGTGAAACGAGCCGCAGAGCTTCTTAACTGCCAAATCGTGGGCGATGAGAAGGCATCTTATCTATTGCCTGAGGGTCAAAAACCATCACTGGGACCGATTCTTGACAGTGAGCTTCGAATCAGTAGCTACATACAAGGTAAGGAGCATCTAGCATCCAACGATCTTGCATTTAGGTGGGAGTACAACCAGGGTACTGATGACGTACAGCATGTTTTGAAACACCCTGGTAGGTTGCCTACCACTTACGGGGAGCCCCGTGGACTTAGCTGATAGCCTGCAGTGTTGGTGTCAATATGTTCCTGACTATGGCAAGTGCTCAGGAGTGTGTGGATGCTGTGCTGAAGTCCGACTGCTCCGATCGAGCCACGGTGGTGGTGGCCTACGCCGTCCTGTCGTTGGGCTGCTATCTTGTAAGCATACATTCAGGTATCAAAGGTGCCGTAGAAGGCATGTCACGGGCCACTGGATATTTTCGACGAGCGTTGTCAGAATCAAACGATCTGACAATGGATAGCACGACTGTTCGGGCATTTCAGGCAAGTGTTCTGCCCCGATTTCCAGGTCGATACAGCTAACCTTTCCATCCAGGGGATTTTGATCATGGTGAGTCGGCTCACCGGTGAAGCCCATCCAAAAATATTAACCTGTGGCAGATCACCTTCGCAGACAAATCCGGTCATCGCACCAAATCCCGTCTCGTCACCCTCGGCGTCCAGTGTGTGCAGGATTTGGGACTTCATAGCTCTCGGCGCCTGCGACAGCTTTGCACCGAGGCCGACGAACGATTGCTTAAGAATGCCTTCTGGCATCTCTATGCCATTGAAAAAGCCGACGCGGTTAACAGAGGCCGATCTTCGGTGAGAGTCCTTCCTCACCCAAGAAGTAAAAGATAATCTAATATTGAACTCTCTAGATGATGTGCGACAAGCTCACCGACTATTCGCCCAGTGATGGATTCCAGAACCCTGATGAAGCACGCTTGACGCTTCAATGTTTATACGGACGTGTCTGCGACCGTGTGATAGATTCGCTCTATAGCCAAGCAGCCCTCCGAGCGCCAAGAGCTGAGATGTGTCGTCAAATAGAAGATGCATATTGCCTGGTTCAGTCATGGCTTGGTATCCTACAGACATATAACAATTCGCTCAATCCTTCTTCGGGGTGCCTCTCTTCCCTCCAGGAGCACATGGAGTCAGAAACGCATCTGAGCTCTTATTTTCTTACATTCTTGATTCACGGAAAATGGCTCCAACTCGCGCAGCAGGGACTGGCTACTGAGGAGAGAGAGGCCTATGAGCGAAGTGAGGTACGATGTCTCGCTGCTGCGCGATCGGTGTTGGAACAATGTAGCCAGCACACCCATGTCCAGATGCTGGCTAGTATGTAAGCCCACCCCAATAATCTCGTTGAGAAGCTGGTCGACTAACCTCGAGCTAGGAGGTTTCGCTCGCTTCCGAGAATCGCGGCATGCATTCTCGTTATTATAGGGCAATCGTGCGACCGATTGGATGAAGAGCGGATGTACCTGCACATGGCGTCTGGATTTTATAGTCGTCTTGCCATCTTCATGCCCGTCCAGTTAGGTTTGTTGTTGGAGTTGATGGATGTATCGGCGTAGCGATGAATGCGAGACGGGCGGCTATCATGTGCAACGCTAATGAAATGAACATCAAAGTCATTCATACACTCATAGTCCACAAGCAACTGAAATTTCGCTGTCGTAGTAAAATAAATGATAATCTAAAAAACGAAATAACTAAAACATTAATTTTAGACAGTAGTCCGTCGATCACTAATTCTTATCTTATCACCCCAAAGGTAAACCTCCAAGGTCCCTGATTCATTTGCTCAACCAGACCGCAAATCTTGGTCATTTCTGCACAATCAGTCCTCAACTTTGCCACAAGTTTTTCATAGTCCAGTCTCAAGAAAAGAATGTCTTCAAGCAGCACTTCGGGATGCGGGTATGTCATCAAAGATGTGACCGCAACACGGAGGATGTAAGACCTGCCGGTTCAGAAGCTTCTTTGAAATCCCACCCACTGATAACTTACAATCAGAGCCGATTTCCGAGTCCTCCCTCTTCTCACCATCGGCTTCGCAACCTACCAGATTGACCGCACAAATATTGCCAGTGCGCTGACGGGAGGTTTCGCATCGGATATTGGCATAAGCCAAGACATCATTAATCTAGGCAATCAACTTATGTTTTTGGGCGTAATTGTCCTCGAAATACCGTCCAATATGATTCTACAAAAGGTACTTTTTCTCTTACACTATCTCATGCATAGACCTTATCCTGTGAATTCAAATAAGCTCAGTGTACATGTACTAGGTCGGACCCCGCCGCTGGATCAGTGCCCAGGTCTGCATCTTCGGAGTCATTGCCGCATTGCAGATCTTTATTCGGAATAAGACGGGTTTCCTGCTTACTCGAGGCATCCTGGGTCTCGCGGAGGCCGGTTATATACCAGCTGCTATGTACACTCTTTCAACGTGGTATACGAAGGAGGGTTTAACGAAGCGCATTGCAGTTTTCTTTTTTGGAATGTTTGGGGGCGCTGCGGTGTCGCCGTTACTTGGTGCTGCCTTGCTCAAATTAGATGGGAAGGGAGGGTTGCATGGTTGGCAGTGGATATTCTTGCGTGAGTACTGGTTTTTCCCGCCATTAGCCGTTGTGGAACTTTACTGATATCAGTAGTGGAGGGAATATGGTCGGTCATTATGGCGATCGCTTTGTTCACACTACTGCCGGAGAGAGAGGGAAATGATAGTGAAACCTCTGATGAAGAGTCTGCCTGCAAATCTCAGTCATGGAATGGGACCACCTCTGAAACGATTCCTGTCAAGGTGGTATGGGATACACTCGCAAACTATACCAAATGGCCCCATTTTCTCGCCACAGCATGTGTCTTCGCTACCTGGAGCCCCCTCACTACGTATACTCCGACGATCATCATGTCACTCGGGTTCTCTCGCATCCAAGCAAACGCTCTCGCTGCAATAGGGAGCTTACTCACCCTACCCGTCATTGTCTTCTTCGCATCTCTGAGTGACTGGTCACGCAGACGGGGGATGAGTGTTATGCTTGCAATTGCTGTGTATCTCGTCGCACTCATTCTCTTGAGGGTTTTGCAGGCGCGCGTCGATAGATGGGGACAGTTTGGCTTCTGGACGACTGTTAATGGGCTGGCGGTCGGGTACCATCCTGTCCATAATGCTTGGATTCAGGTTAATTGCTCCAGTTCCGGGGAGAGAAGTGTTAGTGTGGCGTGAGTTTATAAATCCAGTTAGATATCTTGCCGTGATTACTAACCTGGCTGGGTAGGATGTGTACGTTCCCCCTGTTTTGAAGATTGGTATGTGGATGCTGAACATGATTTTTAGTCGTCATGTCTGCCACGGCTGGGCTCATGGCCGGGACGCAGATCTTCCGACATGATGATGGTTTGAATGGGTAAGTGTTCATCATGCAAGACAGGGAGCTACATGGTCTGATGCGACATTCACAGCTATCCGAGGGGCATACTGATCATGATAATTTTGGTCTTATCCGGCTTAATCTTGGTGGCTATTCAGACTGCGATTTATCGATCATTAAACCGTTCAAGCAAGAGTGGGATGGTCCAGGAGACTTGATGGATCGTCCTTGACGAAATTGCTTCTATCTTGTATCTAAATACACAAGAGCAGCATCTACACGATCTCATTCCCTCCGCATTCGACATTGTCCTGCTCTTCTCTATTCTTCACCCTTGTCTTCACCGACTTCCACTCCGGCACAAACGTTGCCAAAACCGCCACTGCCGCCAACGCAACCGAGATATAAAACGTCCTCACCACCGCTGCATTATACGCTTCTAACGCCTCTCCCAGATACTCGGCGGGTACTCGGTTCCTAACCTCCGTCGCTCCCGCAGCGGCCACACTGGTCGCATCTACACCCGGAATATTCCTAGCGGTTAAGCTCTTCACCAGCTCATGCTGAAAGATATTCTGCGCCACGATCAGGAAAACAGCACCTCCAAGCGTCTGATATAATATCATCAGAGCCGTAACAACAGGCACGTCTTTAGCGTGTAGTGAAGCCTGCATAGCGAGGACAGTTTGCTGCGCCCCCATGCCAATTCCAGCACCCATGATGACTTGGTAGCCAGCCCATTTTACGGTCCTAGTTTTCGCAGTAAAGGTAGTCATCAGGGCGGTGCTGATGAGCACCAGGATACAGCCCATGATCATAGTGGGAGTGTAGTATCCCATGGAAGGAGACTAAGGCACCGCTGAGAACGGAGAGCACAATCAGCGATACGAGCATGGGAAGGTTCATAATCCCCGAGCGTACGGAGGAGGCACCTTTGATGACTTGGAACCATATCGGGAGCTGTTTGGGAGCAGACGTTTGTTAGCGGTGGGAAGCACGATGTCGCTCTTCAAGAGCGAATAGGACGAGGGCTTACATAGTAAACGAGAATATAAAATGCAGCTCCAAGCATGGCGCTATATAGACCGCAGCTCCAGACAGTTCGATTCCCCGCTACCCTTGGTGGGATCATTGCCATTTCTTCCTTTCTGGCCTGCACAATGCAGAAGGCCACCAATGTGACCCCAAAGATCACGAACAGGGCAATAATGCGACCGTTGCTCCAGGATCATTTTGCCCCACCCCATTCGATGGCAAATAGGAGACAAATAATGCAGGCACAGAAGAGTACTGTGCCTTCAATATCGAGCTGGTCTAATCGCTGTATTAGTTGGCTACATTTCGTTGCATCGGAGACGAAAGTAGGAGAAGGCGCATGGAATAAAAAAAGACTGACTACGGCACCGGCTGCGCCAAGAGGGAGATTAATGTAGAAGCACCATCGCCAGGAGACCTTGTCTGTGAAAGCCCCGCCCGTCCTATAAGCGATTACTCGTGAGAATTGAACTCTATACTTCTCGGAGAGATAAATTAAGAAAAGGTATAGATCTGACAATGGCCCAGCCACCGCTGCAGCGCCCTTCAGCCCCCCAAGAATTCCCAAAGCCGTTGCCTGAAGCCGCAAAGACATGCTCGCAGCAGTGAGCAAGATAGTCCCTGAAAGAAGCCCTGCAGCGCCTATTCCCGTGATAGCCCGTCCAAGTATCAAGCCAACCGAGGTGGGAGTTGCCGCCGACACGACGGATCCGATTTCGAAGATTACCAAATTTGTCATGTAAAACCATTTAATGGAGTACATGGTACATACCCGACTGTGGAGGATCTGCGTGGCGCACATTGTCAGTAGGTAGACCGAGCTGTACCATCCTATATTGTCGAGAGAGTGAGAGGACCTTGATGACGGGGAGAGCAGGTGCAAGTATCGTGTTGTCCTGTCAGAGCATCAACACATTAGCTTTGCCTTTGTGTAATTGATGCCTTTGAAGCATAAAAATTACAATAGTACCAGCGCAACTGCAAACATCACCAGATACAGCGCCAACAGTATCGCAATCTGGCGCCATTGTGTCGGTGCGTTCGTGTCGGTAGGGGTTTCGTGCGCGATTTTTTCGGAGTCACTAGGCCGGTCCTCAACGACGGAGGAATCTGCTGTAGAGTCTAACATAATCTGGGAAAATGGGGCCGGGCTGGAGATGCGCAGCGGCCTCCTTCCAAATGATCATATACGATGGGGTGATCGAGCGTCTGTGGTCAGTGGAGCGAATTTCCGGCCGGACTCGGATCTGCAGCTCGGTTCGCAGATGGAAATAAACAGACGCATTATCACCAACCGGACCGGAATGGGTGTTCCACATACGACACGAGCTGAGCCCAGGTAACAGAATAAGTCACAATTTGCTTCACGTTATGCTCAATTGTTCCAATAATGCATGCTACTCCGTACATAAGCACTTCGCAAATTTCCTAATCACCACACATCCTGCACCACCGCAATGCTACTACTCTACATTACCCCTGACTACTCTACTGCTGTCCCTGGGAATGCTCGACCGTCAACTGCACTGCAACTGCCGAAGCCACAAAAGTGGCATTGCTCGCAGCATTGGGAACGTCCTTCGCTACGGAGGCATGATCACCAGCCACAAAAACCCCTGGCACCGTGGTCTCCATCGTGACATCCTTCTGCTTGTAAATCCCATTTCCATCCAGCTCCAGCCCCAGCTGGCTGCTCCAGTCATTTGTAACGACTGTATCCGGCATATGCGTGAGAAAACCCACATCCATATAGCTGCTAGGAGATTCCCCTCTGTCTGGTTGTCCCAGCCAGACCCGCAGGGTATCTCGCGAACCCTCATCAGCCGAAGCAATTCGTTCTAACGAAAGAATTGGGCGAGATTCAATAATGAACCCTTGCGCTTCCGCACCGGCTTCTTTCACGGCGACCGTAGTATCTTCATTGCCGTTGGTGAATAAGGTTACTTTTTCGGCGAAGCGACGAACCATCTGTCCGAGAATCAGACCCACAGAGGGATTCGCCTGTAGTTGTGAACTCTCTGCTACCAGTAGACCTGCATTTGCTGCGCCACGCTCCTCAAACCCATGGCAGAAGAGGCAGTGGAATATGAGCCGGCCCCAGTTCTCGGCGTACCCGTCAATGGGGGGCATGGTGTCGCGTACTCCCGTAGCGAGAACAAGCTTTGAACCCAGGTATGAAATTCCATCTTCATCGGTGACCTCGAAGCCGGTCCCTATACCGTCGTGGGGTAGTTTGCGCGCTTGGATAATCTTCTTGTCGATGATGGTATTGGTAGTGTATCTATGCAGGAGGGTGTCGTAGATGGCAGCGCGGAAACGGGCAGGTTCCACATGCTAACGGCAACGCAGGAGTAATTAGCATAATTAATACTGGGTAGACAAGAAAGGGAAGTGTCCTACATCAAATCCGAGGACATTATGCATATGGGATGTCTGGCGGTTGCGGTACTCCTGGCTGTCGAAGAGGAGTACCGAATGTAACTTGCGGGATAGCGCCAGGGCCGTGGCGAGGCCGGCGGGACCGCCGCCGATGATGAGCACGTCGGCTGTGATGGCCATGGTTATTTCCCACTTGTAGCTTCGTTTGTTCTTGATTGCTGCGGAATAAATTAGCGTAAGCTCTTCAAGGCCTTGAAGGGTGCGAAAAGAAGAGGGGATTGCAGAGTCCGTTAAGTAGGGCTTCAGCTCGGTTTGGGATCTCAGACCGCGGATTACCGTCACGTTACAGTACCCCTCTACTGTTTTCCGGTGCGATTCCGATGCAAGTTCTCTTTCGGCTCTGCAACAATGGACTTTACTTATTTTATCAGAGTATGCTCTGCTGCAGCTCAGCCGCAAATCCGGTGTTATTCTGTTTGCTTACCATGGTTGGTTTTGCGTTAGTGGCACGGACACCGGCAGCTGGAAACCGGTTACCAACGTGATGGAGGAATATATATAGTGTGAACATGTACTACTACAGTACGATGGTGACGATAAACATATCAAGTTTCAGTCACCAGTGACTTCATCTTTATCTTGATAGTATTCGGTGACATCTTCCAGTGCAATAGTTCTACCTGCACAACATGAGTCGGTTCTCCTGCATCTTTCCTACCCTGACGGATGGGTATGTCCCGAATCCAGATCACACTCGTGCCGCGGGTCGGCGCACATACAGAATCGATCTGAGCGGATGAAAGGCCCCAGGCAGTGAGACAGAATCACTTATTCTGGCAGCTTGGGGCCTGGTTCTATCCAGCTACTTGGGCACCGATCAAGTGGCCTTTTACGTTGTGCCTACGACTGGTCCGGATACGACAGCATTGGCCGAGTTGAAGGTCGAGGGAGACATGTCTCGCCAGTCCCTCAATTACGCTGCCAATCACTTGTTGCACCCAGGTCTTGTGGGTGCCGGCCAGGTTTCCGGAGAGACTGCAAATACCATCGTCACCTTTGCGGACGATATTGAGTCCCTATTTGTGACACAGACCGAGGTACGCGTGTCACCACCCGTAGTACAGTGGACTGGCTGGGCTCTTGAACACTGACGGACATCTAGGAGTCCTTCCTATCATTGCATGTTTATCGTGATGAGCAAGGACACATTTCACTATCACTTACCTACTACCTATCTCTGCTGACCGACGCGCAGGCAACAAATGTGGGTACTGCCTTGGTCCAGGCGCTGGCCGAGGTAGGGACATGCGACAACGACAGGCTAATCAAGGACCTCAACCTTATGAGTCCGGCACACCTAGAGCACATCTGGCGGTTTAATGCCGATGTCCCCGGTATATGGGAAGAGTGTTTCCATGATGTGATTGAGCGTCACGCCGCAAACCGCCCACACTCCCTGGCGGTCGATGCCTGGGACACGAAGCTCACCTACACCGATCTCGTAAGGGAGGCACGCCTGCTCGCAGCGTACCTCCAGCAGCGCGGCGTAGGTCCAGGATCTGTGGTCCCCATTTCCTTTGAACGGTCGGGCGCAGCTCTGGTTGCTATGCTGGCTGTGTCCAAGGCCGGCGGAGCCTTTGTCAGTGTGCCCCCGAATCTCCCTGCTGGACGACTCGACGCCATCCTGGAAGTCATTGAAGCACCGTTTGTGGTAACTTGGACCAAGTACGAATCATTCTGGGCTGAACGTCTGCCTACGCTCCCTATCGACAATTATCCCAAGCCGGCTGCAGACGCGACGGTGGAAGCCCTCGGAAAGCCAGAGGACCTTTTCTACGTGATTTTCACTAGCGGCTCGACAGGCCGACCGAAAGGTTGCATGCTATCCCATACGAACTGGTTAAATGGTGCTCTCCGTAGCGCCCCTAATTGGAAATATGGCCCCGAGAGCCGTGTCCTGCAAATGCTCAGCCACACTTTCGACATGAGTCTGTTGGAGATCTGCACGAGTCTAGGATCCGGCTCTTGCGTGTGTGTGCCACGCGCAGAGGAAATTGAAACCAGCATATCCGACGCCATCAACAGGTGGCAGGTTAACCATGTTATCATGACACCTTCACTTGCCCGCGCCCTGAGACCGGACGACGTGCCCGGGTTAAAGACAATGTGCCTGGGCGGTGAAGCCTTCCCCAAGGAGATAGTCACCATGTGGTCTGAGCGGATTAATCTCTGGCAGTTCTATGGCCCCAGCGAGTGTTCCATTAATTCGTCGTCGCGGCCGATTACACGGCCCGATGCGGATCCATTGAATATTGGTCCTCCCAACTCGGCTGCTTGCTGGGTAGTAGACGTACACGATTACAATAAACTGGTTCCTGTTGGCGCTATTGGAGAGCTACTTGTTTCTGGGCCCATTGTCGGCATGGGATACCTGAAAAATCCTGTCAAGACAGCCGAGGCCTTCCTTGATGAAGTTGGATTTGTGGCGAAGGATGATCCCCAGTTTGGTGGACTCCGATTCTACCGAACAGGTGATCTCGTGCGTTGGAACTCTGACGGTACTATCACCTTCTGCGGCCGTGCTGATACGCAAGTCAAGCTCAATGGCCAGAGACTCGAACTGGCGGAGGTGGAATATCAACTGGGGCTGGAGGCTGGCGTTCAGTATGCCATTGCCATGGCACCTCAGGCGGGCCTGTGCAAGAACAACCTCATTGCTATTCTCACCGTCAAGGGTACCAGCACTGGCAACCAGGATACGGCCGCGGACGAGATTCCACTGCTGGATCGCCGCGATCCGGTCGTCCAGGAGACAGTGAAAAAGTTGCGTTCGCAACTTCAGCACGCTTTACCGCGGTACATGGTACCGACCATCTGGGCATTCGTTGGCCGCATGCCCATGTCAGCCTCTGGAAAGATTGATCGCGTACAACTGCGGGATTGGGTACAGAAGATGAGCCAGGAGACTTTCGACGCAATAACTGGCCGCAGCTTGGAAGCCGAAGATCATGTTCTCGGCCTCAGTCGGCTAGAGCGGGATATTCAGCTCGCCTGGGCTGAGGCGCTGGGTTTATCCGCCGCCGAAGTAGGACTGCAGCAGCCATTTGTTGCGCTGGGCGGGGATTCCATCAAGGCCCTAGATGCCGTAGCCAGATGTCGAGCTCGTCAAATCAAGATTAGCATGGTGCATATCTTGTCTTGCGAAGGCGTCCGAGAGGCTGCCTCTTTGGCAGAAGTGCAGATAACCCCTCCTCAGCAGGTGGCGGAGATGGCAGTGGATTACTCGAACCTCTGGACCCGGTTATCATACGACTACGATCTTGACAAGCTAGGTGTAACGCAAGTTGAAGAGGTAGAGGATGTTTTCCCCTGCACCACCATGCAAGAGGGCATGTTCCTCGGCCAGATTCGTCGGCCTGGAGCTTACCACATGCGCTTCTTCCACCGCGTGCAGCTGAAAGGTGGTTGCCTGCCTACCGTCGAACGCATCCAGCAGGCCTGGGCATCCCTTGTCGAGAGACATCCTTCACTACGCACAGTTTTCGTGGATGACCTGTCCCCAGAAGCCATATACCATTCGATCGTGTTGCGGTCGGTTCCAATGGAGCTTAGAATGCGTGAGGTGCCGCGCGACCTCAGCGCTGAAGCCGCCCTCGCCATGTTCACGGAGGAGCTTGTGCCATTTCCTGCCAATGCCCCCTTACACCGCATGCTTTTGCTTACCTGCCGGGGAAGGGTACTGTATTTTATGTTGGAAATCTCTCACGTCATCATGGACGGCTATGCGCTGTCGGTTTTCCGACGCGAGTTCATCCGCGCTTGCTCCTCCAGTACCCCCCTACCGCGAGGCCCAGACTACCGCATGTTTGTCAACTACAATCGCACACGGCAAACCGACGACAGTGCGAGGTATTGGACTAACTACTTAGCTGACTGTGTACCGTGTCACATCCCTACTCATGCAGTGAGTGCACCGAGTGATGACCCCCCTGAATGGCCTCGGACGCTGCAGCGGCGCGACTTCGGCTTTGACAACAGTGCGGCGTTCCTGCAGCGATGCAAAGAGCGCCAGGTTACACTCGCTTGTGCGATCCGCGCTGCATGGGCGCTGGTGCTGCGCGCCTATACCCAATCAGAGGATGTTTGCTTCGGCTACGTCTCGTCCGGACGCAACGTGCCGGTGCCCGAGGTCGAGACCATCTTTGGTCTGTGTCTCAGTATGCAGGTCTGTCGAGCAAGACTAAGCGAGGCTTCCACGATTGCTAGTCTCGCTAGGAAGATCCAGGAGGATTATGTCGCTAGTTTGCCGTTCCAGCACTACCCGTTGGCTGAGGCACAACGCGGGCTGAAGCAAGCACACGGACAGGGGCTATTCAACACGGCGATCTCCATGGAATGGGTGCCTCCGAGTGTAGAGGATGAGGATGCCTTGCTGGATTTGGAGGAAATTCGTGAACAAGATGACCCGACTGAGGTGAGTTCGAAATCCAGCCTCCTGGCCGTACCCCTACTGATGACATGTAACTCGGCATAGTACGACATCGCCATCAGTGTGGATGTCCATGAAGGCCACATAAAACTGGGCTTCCTCTATTGGCCTAATTTGACGGACTTCGATATCGCCCATCTAGCCGAGGCCCTGCGGGGTGCCATGAACCGCTTTGCCTTCCAGCCCGACGAGGCTCTCAACACTCTCAGTCTACTGCAGGCTAGTGATGTGTGCTCCGCCCTGGCTGGCGGACCTACGCTGCTGCCTCTCGAAGCCGTCCGCGGCAATGTGGTGTCAATGATCGACCGCTGGGTGACGCGCCAGCCGGAAGGCGCTGCCATCGATGGATGGGATGGATCCCTGAGCTACAAGGGACTGCATGAGCAGTCTTCCTGGGTAGCTCGCAATCTTCTCCACCAAGGCGTACAACTCGGAGACCGCGTTCTGGTGTGTGCAGACCGGTCGAGTCGTACCGTAGCCACCGTTCTAGGCATCGTGCGGGCCGGATGCGTGCTGGTGCTCTCGAACCCAACGGACCCAGAGAAGCGCCTCCAATGGCTGGCAAATAAGTGCAATGCTGCCCTGATCGTCGCCGATCCTACATACGAAGAACGTTTTGCGACTGCTGGTGCCCGTGTACTATCAACGACCTCTGTCTGTGCCCCAGCAGCCTGGGACTACGAGTTCCCATCTCTAGACGAACATGACCTCGTCAGCATTCTCTTCACTTCCGGAAGCACTGGCACCCCGAAAGGCATTTTGATGGAGCATGGCGCACTCGCGACCAGTGTGCTCCTTGGTCATGGCCGTACATTACGCTTCTCGCGCCACACCCGCATGCTGCACTTTGCCTCGTTGACCTTCGACGCTGCCTTGGCGGAGATGTTCACTACCTTGGCACATGGCGGGTGTATCTGCGTGCCTTATGAGGAAGATCGTCTTTCTGACGTGCCTGGTTGTATCTCCCGCTTTGCGGTCAACACGGCTATGCTGACCCCCTCGGTCGGGAGGCTGTTGGACCCCGGGGCTCTGCCAACATTGAAGACCCTGATAATGGTCGGCGAACCGATGTCCCGGTTGGATGTGGAGCGGTTCGCTCCGGTGCTTGACCTGTACAACGGTGCAGGGCCTACAGAAACATCCATCATGGTTACAATCGCCGGGCCGATGAAACCTACTGATGAGCCAGTAAATCTGGGCTATGCTGTCGCTGGGGTCAGGTTGTGGGTGACTGAGGCCGAGAACCCTAATCGACTGGCTCCGTTGGGAGCAGTCGGCGAGTTGATCGTCGAAGGCCGCTTGGTCACTCGCGGATATCTGGATGACCCAGCACGGACGCAGAAAGCCTTCCTTCCGAGTTTGCCATGGCTTCCATCACAACATGCCTTGTACCGAACAGGTGATTTGGTGCGGTATGCTGACGATGGTAGTCTACGGTATATGGGACGGAAGGACACGCAGGTCAAGTTGCGCGGACAACGCATTGAGTTGCAAGAGGTCGAGTATCATCTGCGAAAGAGCTTGCAGCAAGCACAGATTGTGGTGGAGATGGTCGTTCCGGCGGGGAAGATGCGTGCTCAGGCTAGCCTGGTCGCTTTTGTCAGTGGGCTGACTGCGGCAGATGTTGAGTCATCGTCTGCATGTAACTTGGAAGGAACGATACCTATCTCGCAAATTGTCTTACCCAAGAGTGCGTTTCAAGCGCTTGAGGAAGTCCTGCCCCGCCATATGATACCGTCGGTGTATTATGCCCTTGACACTATTCCGCTGTCGGTCAACGGCAAGGTAGATCGGCGGCGACTGCGTGAGATGGGTACCTTGCTGCTAGCATCTAGTGCCGCCCATAAGAACATCATTGAAGGAATGAGCAAGTCCGTCAAATGGACGCCAGCATCGGAGCTGGAGCGGACACTGTTGGAGTTGTGGGCTGCGACACCGGGACTCGAGGCTGATACAATCCACGGCGATGACAGCTTCCTTGAATTAGGCGGTGACTCTGTCTCTGCCATGAAGTTGGTAGCCACAGCTCGGGATAAATACAAGCTGTCTTTGAGCGTTCCCCAGATGTTCAGATACCCGACTATTTGTCAGTTAGCCGCCGAAGTTGGGGGACCCGCTGGGCAGTCAGCAAGCTCAGCTTCATCCACAACGGAGGAAGGGTTTACATTCAGCACGCCAGACGACTCTTCCACTAATGACGGAGTCGACGACGACTTCTTACAGCTGGCCGCTGCCCAGCTGGCCCAATTAGCCCAAGATAAGGGCAAGAAGGTGGATATTGCTGCTCTTCTGAAGCAGCTGCAGGGCGGTTCCTCTTCCAATAAGACTCTGTCCGTGTCTTTCTCTTCTTCATCATCTTCGTCATCTAAAAGGAAGAAGAAGGCGGCCCTGGCCGAAGCAGCAGCTCCTATCCCTGTGCAATTTTCCTTGTTGGATGGTGGCGCTGATGTTCTGGATAAGGTCCGTGCACAGGCTGTAGAGCATTGCAAGATCCCACACGAGGATATTGAAGATATTTATCCCGCCACAGCTTTGCAAGAGGGGATGATGGCACTCACGGCCCGCACACCTGGGGTTTATACCACAACTTTGACCTGCGATCTTTCCGAGCAGGTCAATCTCGCACGGCTGCACTACGCCTGGGGTAAAGCTGCTGAGGCGCATCCGATCCTCCGGACCCGGATTATCCTGACCGACAACAACATGGCAGTGCAGGTTGTGCAGCGTGCGAAAGGGCTTCCATGGGACACATATTCCTTGCGAGAGGGCGACGTTCTCCCGGACCTAACGTCGAACATGACCTCTGGATCTCCCCTTCTGCGCCTGGCTGTAGTACACCGGCAAAGTCAACCTCGGATGTTCCTGGTGGCCATTCATCATGCTCTCTACGATGGATGGTCGATGCCACTCCTCAAGCAGGCAGTTGAGGATGCCTACCATGGTCGGGACTTGCGGCCACAGCTCTTCACCCTGTTCATCAAACACCTCATTGCGGGCAAACCGGCGGCACAGGACTTTTGGACCACGCATCTGGACAGCTTCGCAGGAGGCGTGTTCCCTAATTTGCCCAGCGTCGACCACCAAGTTCAGCCGAAGGAACGCCGAGCTCGCTCACTGACTCTGCCAACAGCGACCCCCAGATCCCAGTATAGCATGGCGACAAAGATTCAAGCAGCTTGGGCCCTGACTGTGTCGCGATATGCAGAGGCTAATGACATTGTCTTTGGTACTGTTAGTACCGGACGTTCGGCGCCTGTGCCAGCCATTGATCGTATGGTCGGTCCCACCATTACGACTGTACCTGTTCGCATCTCGCTCGGTGACCAAACAGAGCGAGTCATCTCAATACTGCAGAGGGTACAAGAGAATAGCTGGAACATAATGGATCATGAACACCTGGGCCTACAGCATATCCGCCGTCTCGGTGAATCTGCTGCTGCCGCTTGTAGCTTCCAGACGCTGCTAGTAATTCAGCCGCGTGAACAGACTGACACCAAGTATCGTTATACGTTGCTTTCAGGATTGCAGGATGTGGCCGAATTCGAGGGCGTGGATACGTATCCGCTAATGTTGGTCTGCGAGCCTGACGGTGCCAGACTGCATTTGACTGCCGTATTTGATCCAGCCGTTCTGGACGGAGCCACGTTGGACCGAATGCTCGCTCATTGGGAGCTCGTTCTAACCCAGCTGTGGAATGAGTCTGATATGGCAGTAATTGAACTGGATACTGTATCGTGCACTGACAAGGAGACACTGATGCGATGGAATACTGGACAAACAATCCCTAACGCGTGTGCCCATGACGCTGTGTATGAGTGGAGTGTCCACACCCCCCATGCACCCGCTGTCTGTGCTTGGGACGGGGAATGGACCTACGAGGAAGTAGAGAGGTGCTCATCCCTCATAGCTGGTCATATTCTCGCCCATGGTGTATCCTGCGGAGACTCTGTCGCTCTTTACCATGAAAAGTCACGGTGGGGCGCGGCCGGAATTCTCGCGGTGTTCAAAGCCGGCGCCATTCTGATTGCTCTTGACCCGACTCATCCCACAGACAGAATCAAGGATATCCTGGATCAAGCACGACCACGTCTCATCCTGACCTCCCAGTTCCTCCTCGATGAGGCAAGGAATCTTGAGACATCGGTCCTGAGCGTACAGTTCGCAGCGTCACAACCGTTGCCCGAAGGATGCTCCCCTCTGCCAAAAATAAACTCCACCCAGGCTGCATATATCCCCTTTACCTCGGGATCAACAGGTCGACCAAAGGGGATTCCCCTTGATCATCGTGGTCTGGCGGCTTCAACTGCATCAATAGCTCGTTCCTGCCTACTCAGCCCAGCATCTCGGGTCCTTCATTTTGCCAGCTTCGCCTTCGACGCCAGCATGATGGAACACCTGATAGCATGGCACGCTGGTGGCTGTCTATGTATCCCCGATGAAACTGCAAGGCAGACGGACCTGGCCAAGTGTATCCGGGATTTCAACGTTACTTGGGCTTTTCTCACACCTTCCTGCCTAAGACTAATTACCCCCGACGACGTTCCGTCCCTCCAAGCCCTGGGACTAGGTGGGGAGTCTATGACGTCCGAAGATATCATCATCTGGGGCCCGAGACTCCGTCAGATCATCCAGCTATATGGTCCTGCAGAATGTTGCTTTGTGGCTGCATTAAATGAAGTGACAAAACCATCTGAGAATCGTTTGATCGGGAGACCCAACGCCTGTCGATGCTGGGTAGTTGACCCACGGAGCCCAGATCGCCTAGCGCCCATAGGCGCTGTCGGGGAATTGATAATTGAGGGGATTACTGTCGGTCGGGGTTATATTAACAGTCCTGACCGAACCACTCGGGCATTCATACGGCCTCCTAATTGGCTTCAAACACTGTATCCTGACGACCATGAGCCAAAGCGGCTCTATCGAACCGGTGACCTCGTGCGTTATGCTGGTGTGGACGGCAAGCTGGCCTTCATCGGGCGAAGAGACAGTCAACTCAAGCTTCACGGACAACGTATTGAGTTGGCGGACGTCGAAGCTCACCTCCGTCCTCTAATACATGGGACGCAAAAGATGGTTGTCGAGATGGTTCACAGTGCAGACAACCAGAATCCCATTTTGGCTGCCTTTCTGGAAGAAATGTCAACGTCACAAAATTCCGCAGAGCGAGAGGTTGGACTATTGCACCCAAGTCAATCCCAATGTGCCCTAGACGTTATGGCCATTCATAGCGCGTTATCTCGAACGGTTCCACATTACATGATTCCCAGCATGTATCTACATATTTCGCGTCTGCCTCTAAGTGCATCTGGAAAGCTGAACCGCCGCCATCTGCGCGAGATGGTAGCAGAGCTTCCACGCCAAAGGCTCAACGAGTACGCTGCTGGATCAAGCCTCAGCGTTCCTGACCGACCAAAAACATCCCAAGAGCAGGAGATGCAGGCTATCTGGGCCCGAGTATTGTCACTTGACCCGAACACAATTGGAGTCAACGAGGACTTTTTCCGCATCGGCGGTGACTCAATTTCCGGGATGCAAGTCGCCACAAAATGCAATGCGGCTGGCATCCATATCACTAGTGCGGATATCTTCCGATACCGTACCATCGAGCAACTGATATGCCATCTTAATTTTATCAGAATCACTGACTGCGCGTCAGTCTTGCTACCTGCAGAGCCGGTGGACGAATGGGTTGCTCTAGCCCCTATCCAGCAACTGTTCTTCGAAGTTGCCCCAGAGGGGCCGAATCACTTTAACCAGAGCCTGCTCCTTCGCACTAGTCGCCGGGTCAGTGTAGGGGAACTCGCCGGAGGCTTGGACATTCTCGTTGGAAGGCATTCTATGCTACGCGCGAGATTCTGCCGCAAGGATTCCGGCCAGTGGTTCCAGCAGGTAAGGTCACTGGATTCTGAGCCTGCTAGTGCCTTTTACCGGTTGGCTGCGCACAACCAGATCACTCGTGAGTCGCTACCAACACTTTTTACAGCGGCTCAGATGGCATTGTCTATTGAGGATGGGCCGCTCTTGACTGTGGATCTGGTAGAGCTCGAGGACGGTAATCAGCTCGTCTACCTGGCGGCCCATCATCTCATTATTGATTTTGTCTCGTGGCGCATTTTGCACGGGGATCTGGAGGAATATTTCCAGACAGGCTCTCTGAGTTCCGCTACAGGGTCGGTTCCTTTCTTAACCTGGACTCAATTACAGGCCGAATACAGCGCCGAACACCTCCCCCCCCGTGCGTGCTTTACCTGACTGCCAGGAAGTAAACGATGACTTTGATGTCATGAGGTACTGGGGAATTTCTTCCGAGTCGAACACGTTCGGGCAAACCTCAATATCCAGATTTACCTTGGACCGCACTGTGACTGACATCCTCTTCGGAAGCGCCAACAATGTGATAGATACTCGACCGGTTGAGATTTTGCAGGCCGCCCTCTGGTACTCTTGTAATCAAGCCCTCACTGACCATCCGGGTCCAAGCATTTATGTTGAAAGCCATGGGAGAGAGCCTTGGACGAATTCCATCAACGTCTCGGGAACGGTTGGTTGGTTTACGACCATGTCTCCTTTAGTATCCACTCCATGGGATCACCTATCACGGAAATCAATGCGGGACTTCGTCGATGTACTCAGCTATATCAAGGACCAGCGCCGACGCATTCCGGCAAACGGATGGGCATACTTCACTTCTCGCTACCTGAACGACGAAGGCAGGGTTGCATATGGGCGGACAAAGCCGGTTGTGGAAGTTCTGTTTAACTACATGGGCCAGTACCAGGAGATGAAGCGTGACGACGCCATGCTACAGCTGGCTGGCGATGATATCCAGTCCGGCACTGGTGCTTCAGACATTGCCGACAACGTGCCACGCTTTTCGTTGATCGACGTTACCGCGTTCACTGCGAACGGGTGCCTAACCTTCGAGTTCACATTCCCGCAATTGATGCAGCAGGATGCTCGACTGGAACAGTGTATTAAGGAGTGTGAACGTACTCTCGTCGCCGCGGCTAGTTCACTGCCAGCGGAAGGACCCCGCAAGACGTTGACTGACTTTCCCCTTATGTCTGCGCTCACCTACGACCAACTGAGCCAGTGCCTCAATTATACGTTGCCTTCGATGGGTCTACGTGCCCAAGACGTCTGGAATATCTACCCTTGCTGCCCCGTGCAACAGGGCATGTTGCTGGCCCAGCTGCGCGATCGGCAGGCATATCAGCAACGATTCAGGTTCCAGGTTATGTCTCGCGGGCCAACAGACCAACTTCCATTGGAAAAGGTGAAAGATGCTTGGACGGAAGTGATCAATCGACATGAAATCCTCCGTACTCTCCTTCGCCCAGTTTCAGATCACAGCCACTTTGACCAGGTAGTCATGGTCCCTGGTAGCCTTCAGCACCTGGTTCGAATTAATGCGATGAATGACAATCCCACAGAGGGCCTACCTCACACGATCAACATCACCAGCGACTCGACTGGCACCACTATCTGCGAGTGGAATGTCAGTCATGCATTAGTCGATGCTATGTCGATAGCTGTCATTCAACGGGAGGTCAATCAAGTGTTCGAAGGTGCGCTGGGACAGCATCGAGATGTACCGCAATACGTGGATTACATTCAATGGCTTTCTCTGCAAGACAACACCGAAGCGCAGGCATATTGGCAAAATTATCTCAATGGGGTGGAACCATGTCTCTTTCCAAAGCTGACGTCTTCGCCAGATAAGGTCGATTCGGAGGGTACTATCTCTGCCATTCGTGCCACCTGGTCCCGCGATGCTCGGATGGACGAGCTGTGCCTTAGGCACGCTATCACATTGACAAATCTATTCCACATTGTCTGGGCCATCGTGCTCGGCGCTTATGTGGGCACTGATGAAGTTTGTTTCGGCTATACAGCCCTTGGCCGAGATGTGCCTGTCAACCGGGTTGAGACGATGGTCGGCCCTTTAGTCAATGTTCTTGCCACGACCGTCCGACATCAAGAGGACGAGACAATCTTGAATGCACTCCTCGTCCATCAAGCCCACCTCACTAATAGCCTCCAACATCAACATTATGCGTTGGCAGACGTGTATGCGTCTTTGGGACTGGTCGGATCTCAGCTGTTCAACACTATCGTATCGTTGCAAGATACATCTCACTTCGATGCTCCAGACGAGCAAAGAGCCCGGCTCGAAATGCTACCTGCAAATGATGTCTCAGAGGTTTGTCCCCAAACTTGGTCTACGAAGCCCCCTATATCCTCTGATGTTAACATTTAATACAGTATGATGTGGCCCTCAATATCGGTGTTGACAAATCCTCTATTCAGCTGGTCTGCAGCTACCAAAGCGTATCTCTGTCCGCGGAGCAGGCCGACGCACTACTGCGAACGGCCTTTCATGTACTGGGTGAAATCCTGAGGGACCCCACCCAACGATTTTGTGAGCTCGAGGTGATCAGCCCTAAGTGTAAAGAGCAACTTGTGAGATGGAACGCTGGCATGCTTGCCCCGACCGATGAATACATCCATGAGAAGATACAAGGCCAGTGCCGTATCCACAATTCCCGACAAGCCGTTTGTGCCTGGGACGGCATGTTTACCTACGCCGAAGTCGACGATTTGTCTTCACGCCTGGCAGCACGGCTCATTAGAATTGGGGTTACCTTCGAGGACATCATCCCAATCTACTCACCCAAATCCCGATGGACGGTCATCGCCATTCTAGGGGTTCTAAAAGCTGGGGCTGCCTTCACGCTTCTGGAAACATCACATCCAATGGCTCGACTGCATGTGATATGCGACCAGATCAAGGCTCCTATGATTATCGCACCAGCATCGCATGCCGTTCCAGCGGCCAATTTGATTCCTATTTTAGTCGTGCTCGACAACATCACGTCCTTGACCCAGGAAAAATCAGACCTCTTACCGGCTGTCGGTATACCACCAGCTGGAGAAGCTCTCGCCTATCTTATCTTCACATCAGGTTCCACGGGAAACCCCAAGGGGGTAATGGTCACCCATCAAAATTTGTGCAGTAATGCGTCAATCATCACAACGTCTGTCAACATGACTTCCGACAGCCGGGTGCTACAGTTTGCATCACATGCATTTGATGGGTGTATCTTGGAGTTACTGGGTGCGCTGATCGCAGGTTCCTGTCTGATCATCCCGTCCGAGTCGGAGAACAAGGAAGACCTGGCTGGTTGTATCGAGCGCATGGACGTCACCTGGGCACTTCTGACCCCTTCCGTCGCAAGGATCTTGGAGCCAGAGACTCTTCCCAGACTCCGTAATTTAGTCCTGGGTGGCGAGCCGATAGCTGCTTCGGATTTAGATATGTGGCGGGGACACGTCCAGGTGGTGTGTGCCTATGGCCCAACCGAAACCACCATTATCGCTAGTACGACATCACCCTCCACGTTTCCCACGGATGGTAAGGATATTGGCTTGCCAAACGGAAGCTCCATTTGGGTTGTCTCCAGGCAGAACTATCAAAAGCTGGCGCCTCTTGGAGCCACAGGCGAGCTTTTGATTGAAGGACCCAATGTAAGCCTGGGTTATCTTGGTGATCCAGAGAAAACCAAAGAAGCCTTCCCGGATTCTCCACGCTGGCTGTCACAGCTCCGGAAATCGCCTCCCAGGGTCTACCGAACCGGTGACTTGGTTCGCTTCGATACAACTACGGGCACCATTCGCTTCGTGGGACGCAAAGATAACCAGATCAAGTTCCATGGGCAGCGCATCGAGCTCGGTGAGATTGAACATCATGCTCAGTTGGCTTTTCCGAGTGCCAGCATGGTCATCGTCGATTTGATTACCCCTGAACAACCTCAACAGCCATATATCGTTGCATTCGTACATCAATCAGACGCAACGAATGAAACGACTGACACAACCGACAGCCTCCTGCTTCCTCCCTCCGAAGCCTTCCGAGCAGACGCTCTGGCAGCGCAGAACAAGATGCACGAACGACTCCCGCACTACATGGTCCCAGCAGTGTTCCTCCCTTTGCATCGGCTTCCTCTATCAGTCACTGGCAAAGCCGATCGGAAACATCTCCGACAATGTGCACTTGCTCTGTCCAGCCCTGAGCTTAATACATACCGCGCCACGGCCTCGACGAAGCATACGCCTTCCACCGCAGAGGAGCGGAAAATGCAGGAATTGGTTGCAACTGTTCTGGGAAGGGACCCTACTGAAATCGGCATGGATGACAGCTTTTTCTATCTGGGGGGTGACTCCGTGCAAGCAATGCGGCTGGTTGCTGAGGGTCGTCAGCAGGGGCTTGCCCTGTCCCTTCGAGCGATTTTTGACTCTCCCCGTCTACGTGACCTTGCCGACCAGGCCAGAAGTCCAAACGCAGATAATCAGCGAGTGTCGACCGCTTCATCAGCCGGTCCACGTGATGATTGCGACCAAATAGACAGAATAGTTGCAACTAACTCCCTCAACAAGGCTGACGTAGCTGATGTCCTTCCCACAACCTCCTTCCAGCGCCACTGGCTAGAAGCACAACTGAAGAGCTACATTGTCGTCGACATATCAGGCCCGGTCGACCCGGCCCGTCTTCTTAGGGCCATGCATCGTGTGGTGGAGGCTCACCCAATTCTCCGAGTCTCATTTGTGCCTTATGAAACCACTACCCTGCAAGTTATCCTCCGCACGGCAGTGGCCATAACCAATGCCGACCTGTCCACCACCACCGTGGAAGAATTTTGCCGCCGAGATGTAGATGCCCAGATGGCTCCAGGAGTGCCGTACTTGCGCGTCATTCTAGCAACCCAAGACAAAGCCGACCATAAACTAATCATGCGACTTTCTCACGCCCAATACGATGCCGTCTCACTTTCCCTCCTCATGAATGATCTGAGTCATGCATACGCAAACGAGATTCATCCCTTACCTTCAACCCACTTCCCCCGATTCAACGACTACATTACCTACCAGCAAGCTCAGAGAGCCGATCCCACAGCGACCACATTTTGGCGTCATCTCCTCCAAGATGTCTCGCTCACCTACCTTAACCTCCAGCCAGCTGAGTCCTCGGCCAGCAATGGAACTCCGATTATACTTTCCCGCGACATCAACATCGCTGCTTTCCCCTCACTTCCCAGCGATATTACCATAGCCACAACGATCAAAGCAGCCTGGTCCCTGGTCCTAGCCCAGAAGACCGATTTTCTTGCCGTGATATTCGGCCAGGTCGTTCACGGTCGGGCTATTGCCCTTCCTGGGGTTGAGGGAATTGTCGGTCCCTGTGCCAATGTCACGCCCGTTGTCGCACGCCTGGGTCTTCAGACTACGGGAATGGAATTAATGCAAACATTGCAAGACCAACATCGCTCTGCTATGCCGTACGAGACGGTGGATCTTGATGACGCGCTGGCGTATGCCAAGGACTCCCAGGCCGGGCGTAAAGGGTTACAAACAATCGTGCAGCATCAGAATAACGTGATGGTTGATGATGTGGAGTTGTCGCTCGGAGAGGTGAAGTGTGGGGTAGATGCCAGGGCAGTAGATCATCTGCCGAAAGAGGTATGGGTCTATTCGTCTGTTGATGAGAATAGACCGGGTATGTTGGAGGTGAAGATCATGTCATCGACGTTGGTGATGGGTGAGGAGGTTGCGAAGGAGTTGATGGGTTTGCTTGTAGAGAAGATAGTGGGGTTGTTGAGGCATCCGGAGATTGTCTGTGTTTGATTGAGCTTTGTTGGGGAGTCGGAGTAGAATTTGGACGCAAGTATATAGATTGTTGAATGAACATGAAGTGAAGATCACGTATGGACTCCACTTTGACCAACATCATCAACAACCCCAAACCACTCACTCAATACGTAAATCTAAACCTAAACTCTCTTCACAACAAACTGCATCTTAAAAGTCGTCTCCCCATTATGCGCCACCTTCGTTATCCCCTTCCATTCCTCGCCCGTAACATCAACCTTCCACTCTGTCCCCGTCTCCCTCCCCACCTGCTCCCACAACCACCTCCACGAATCCAGATTATGTCTCCAAATCTTCGACTCCAATTCATTCGCCCACACCTCCCGTGAATTATAATCACCTACATGGCGACCAACCACCATAGAACCGGCCTTAGGCTTTAGCAGCTTAATGACCTGCTTAGCCAGTTTGACCTGGGTATCCCAGTCAAAGAGGTGGAAGAATGAGGCCGCGTTGATCATGTCTACCTTCCCGCTAAGGCGGTTGAATAGTTCACTGCTGCTGTCGAAGATGTCGCCGGTGATGAATTGGCATGCTAGGGTGTCACGGTCCGCGAAGAGTTCGTATCCTAATTCGATGAACTGGGGATGCAGGTCTGAGCCGTAGATTTGAAATTGTGGTGCTCCTTGGTGGACCTGCTTAGATCAGTAGGTGTCCTAGGAATTTGTGGGCTACGGGGGGAGTACAAGGTGTCTGATGTCCTGGCCCATGGCGCATCCCAGATCCAGGTAAACATCCGAGGTGTCCTTCAAGCGGGAGAGGATCTCAGGATACGCGGAGGAATTGCAGATGGTGATATCAAGGAACCGGAAGGATCCAATGCACGGATAGGGAAACTTATCTGATCAGTAATGATAGTGACTAGTATGGGGGTGTGTAGACTTACGACTGCGAAGGCGCGATCTCTCTTTTATATAAAGTCGTATTTAGTATACATTTGACCAGATTAAGGGTATACACTTACCACTTCTTTGACATGATCAATGATCTTCTCCTCCGGGATCTTGCTGTATTCGGCCAAGATGGTGCGCGCGGGCTCCTTGACTTCAGCCAATTCGGGCTCATACCAGCTAAACTGGCGGTTGACACCATCCTGCGCAGGACTTGAGGTACTTGTGGATGGTTCGCTCATGGCTATTTTCTGCAAATTGGACAGGGAAAGAAGTGAGATCTACGTTCGGGGTTTCACTCGAGGTTTCGGGCAAGGAGATGAAGACAACAAAAAGACTGTGGCGGAACCCAACCGCGTGGTGCGGGGCCGCCGCCGTCGGACATCCGATGCCTTCGGAGTTAAATCAATGTAGTGTTACAGGCTAATGGAGGGACTAACATTGTGATTATAGATGTTCTATGAGTCCATATAATGCCGTCCGCAGACCTATCAAACCAGATCGGACATTATTCCACAGAAAGGTAAGCGACGAGAACAGCGCCGCACAGCCGACGGGGGAGAAACAAGCTTTCGCCAACCCTTCAGACCCTGGTGTGCAAGGCACTGACCCACTGCTGTCGAACGGCGTCGTCCAGAATGTTCTTCCACATACAAATGGCATGGCATAAAGAGATTTGCTTTAGACGTCTGCTCCACTACCTGCATCTAGAGACGGATCAGCCTTTTCTACTGCGACCGTGCGTTCTGCGCTACTTTAACCAAGAATGCACCCTTAGCTCGACTTAGCCGAGATGGCTCAGACGTCGCGATGCCTACCACTCAGGCACTATGATCCTTCGTGGCTTCTTGATATCACCAGTAATGCTCAGGCTGTTTTTCGGCATTTTAACTTGACCACCGGCATATGTTATCTCCAGCCCTGTACTGAATCCTGAGAATGCGGGCATCCCCGCTTATCGGAGTAGCGGCCGGCGGAGCTTTCCGCTTAGCCGAGCAGAGCTGAATACTGCCCTGAAATCGACCTACTTTTGTTCAGACAAACAATTGTATTAATGGCTATAACAAGACTTGTACCATATTCTTCCATTCACCACATCTATAGACATCTTTCAAAGCATACACCGCATCAATCACCCACTTGTTTCCCCCGCGGAGCCCTCCGAAAGCCAGCAAAAATCGGGGTTATCAAAGGATCTGCATAAGCACCATCTGCACGCCATTCCGAATTCAGCGAGGGCCTCGGGGCCGGCAAAAATCCATCTAAACCATAAATGTCTCCGACCTCGCCTGGACGATCTTTTTTATTTTTCGCACACCACTCTCCATGCAACAATGGTCCGCATATGGCCCAAATCCGCCCATGACCAGCCATCGGACCTGGAAAAAGCGCCTCCCTCGCGCGACCCCGAATACCAGGTGAAATGGGACCCGGATGATCCCTTAAACCCGCAGAATTGGCCAGTGCGCTACAAATGGTGGGTGACGGCGCAACTGGGTATGCTCGCCCTGGCCGGCAGTCTGGGCTCCAGCATCACCACCCCTGCCGATGACACCATCGCCGAGTATATTGGCGTGAGCAGCGAAGTCGCTGTTCTCGATGTCTCCCTGTACATGTGAGTGTCCCCGTAGCAATACTCCCAACCAGTCAATCAGCCACTAATCAATCCCAGTCTCGGCTTCGTCCTCGGCCCCATCATCTGGGCCCCCGTCTCCGAAGTCTGGGGTCGGCGTATCAGCATGCTTCCCGCCATCTTCTGCCTGGCGATCTTCGACATTGGCACTGCGAACAGTCGCAATGCCCCGGCCATCTTCCTCACGCGCTTTTTTGCCGGGTTCTTTGGCTCTGCACCCATCAGCAACGTCACCGCCGCGTTGGGCGACATGTGGAGCAAAGAAACGCGCGGCACAGCAGTGAGCATCTATGCGATCGCTGTAAACGGCGGTCCAGACCTGGGCCCCATAATCGGCGCAGCCATCATGGCCAATTCGAATCTCAGCTGGCGCTGGACCGCATACATCCACGCGATCTGGGTCTTCGCGACCTTCCTCATGGCCTTCTTCTTCCTCCCGGAACTCTACCCGCTTGTGCTGCTGAAACGCAAAGCGCAAAGCCTCCGCAAATCAACCAACGACAGCCGATATTGGCATCCCCATGAACACCTGCACCTGTCTGTCCAATCCATCGTCACGAAGCAACTCGCTCGCCCGCTCCGCATGCTCTGCACTGAACCTATCGTTACTTGCATCGCTTTCTACGCGGCGTTTGTCTACGCCGTCATGTACCTCACACTTGAAGTCTTCCCTATCGCATTTGAAGAACTCCGCGGCTGGTCTCCCATCGTCGGTGCTCTCCCCTTCCTCGCCCTCCTCATCGGTGTTATCCTCTCCACCGGAATAAACATCTACAACCAGTTCCGCTATAACCGCGTCTCTGCAGCCGCGAACGGTGCACCCGTCCCAGAGGCCCGCTTACCTCCCATGATGTTCGGAGGTGTTGTCCTCGTCCTTGGGTTATTCTGGTTCGCCTGGACGGCTACGCCCGCTTACCACTGGATCTTGCCATGCCTGGCAGCATTCTGCATCGGAGCAGGGTTTAATTGCATTTTCCAGCAATGCTTGAATTTCCTCATCGACGTGTATCGCGTATATGCGGCTAGTTCAACTGCCGCCGTTACCTTCTTGAGAAGTATCATGGCGGCGGGGTTGCCGTTAGCGGCGAAGCCGATGATCAGGGCCCTCGGTATTGGACCCGCGATATCGATTATCGGCGCTGTGGCGGCGGTGTTGTTGCCCGTGCCGTTTTTGTTTGTCAGGTATGGGCCGGCTTTGAGGAGGGCGTCGAAGATGATTGATGGGCAGTGATTCAGCGTCTTTTGGGTGTTGGTTACGGTTTGATCATATCATATTTGCATCAGCGAAGCGTATAGAATATTCTTAAACATGCCCTAAGATAAATAAAATGCATTGCAGAAATTATGCAGAAACATTGTATATAGTAGATAATAGTGGAAGATTATATCCTCGCCTCCACCACGCCCATCTCCATCCCCTCATTCTCACTCCCCACCCAACAATTCACCAGTCTCAACCCCGCCCTGACAAGTAACTCCGCATATTGCCTCTCCGTCCTCTCCGCGCCAGCGAAACTCACCATCATACTTAGATCCCCGATAGCAGCCATCAACCCGCCACCTGTCTCGGGAATGACCTTCTCCACGATCAACAACACCGACTCCTCATTCATAGCCTCCCGCACTCGACTCAGAATCTTCACTACCTCGTTATCAGGCCAATCATGCAACACAGTACGAAGCATATACCCCCTCGCTCCCTTGACAGGCTGCTCCGTGAAGAAATCATACCCTTGGCTCTCTATCACCCCATCAGGTATCTCTGCATCAGCGACAACATGGGGTAAGTCCTGAAGGATCAGTCGTCCAGAGAGATCAGGGAACGCGGAGCGAAAAGCGAGGAGGTCTTGGCCTTGGCCGCCGCCGATATCTACCAACAGTACTGAATCGGTATTCGGGGATTCCATCTGGAGTTTCTCGGTGACGGGGAAGAGATTGAACCATGGTTGTCCGGCTCGACGGATGGGAGATTTCATGACTGTGTTGAAGGAGGACTGGTAGTAAGGTTTTGTGGCCAGGTAGTCGAAGTAGTGGGAGGATGTGCCGGCGGCGAATTGGAAGGGCGTGTTGGTTAGGGAGTTGGGGTTGGTCCAGTTGTTTTTGGCGAAGTAGTCCGGGAGGTGAGTGAGGAAGGAGTGGAAGTGCGTGCTGAGGAAGGGTTAGTTGGTTGGAGGATGGTTGGGGAGGGAGGAAAGTACAAGTGGATTATGGCTGCTGCGAGTGGAGATGATGAGATGTAGGATGAGGACAGGGGAGTAGGTGTGAAGGTGTCGGATGTGTGCTGTTCGAGGGTTCCTATGGCGGAGAGGAAGCGCATGATTCGGGCTGCATGTTTTGTTATGAGGTGGCTGTGCTGAGGGGAGTATTTGTTCATACCGACGAGGACTGGGTCTGCTTTTGTGTCAGCGGCTATCTGGGTTACAGTGACTTTGCCGGTCTCATTCTGAGATGAGTGGTGGATGACTGCGTCGAAGAGCTTAAGGTCAATGGCTAGACGGAGAACCATGGTTTGGTGTTCCTGTTCTCTTATTAGTATCCATAGTCGTAGATAGAGAAAGTCACGAAAACATACCGTAAACAAAAGTTTGAACGTCTTCTCAAGCGGCGATTCGCACATCGCCTTCAGTCTATCGCATGCAGACGACAGCTCCGCACGCTGCTGCTCATCTATACTGTTCAGCTCGCCACTGGCGGTGACAGCGTTGATGGACTTGATAAGTTCGGAGACGCTCATTTTGTAGAACTTCTAAGAAGCCAGTAATAAGTCAAAAAGGGAGCTGATAAACTCTGCCAATCTTCCGGTCTGGTGCTGGGCGTCATCTCAGTCATATATACGAGGAAGCTCGGTAGATCTGTGGACCGTCCCCGAGCTAATTTGCCGACCCCGTCCCCGCGCCCGATCTTTATCACCGTGGGTGCACCGAGGCCGAAGTGTTCTCAACCTCGATTGTAGCTGCTTAACTACTTCTGTTGAGAATGTGGTGACAATCCTGGCAGACCTAGGACCAAATAGATTTATGTAGACCTCATTGCGCAGCAGGAATGTTGATGTGTCGTCTTTACTATCTACTTCATGCCTTAGGCAGCGAATATCGGGTTACGGTCGGGTTCTTGGATACATCGCGTTTTCCATCCTATTCACTCTATACCATCCATCTACTCTATATATCTTAGATCATTTTGTCCAACCCAGTATCTCCATACGCTCATGCTCATCCGCGTCAGAATTATATCACCGAAGTATTACGTATGTTCACGAAAAGTGTTAAAACGCATATTCAAGACATACCACCCATGCTTGAACAGCGATCGATGAAGTCCTCGAAGGCAAGTCAAATCCACTCACGCCGAGATAGCTGTGGCCCATTTACTCCTCTTCCGCAGAGAAGGGCCCCAGAAGGTGAGTACGTAGGGAATGGGCGCAGCCACCGCACTGATGATCCCAAGAACAGTGAGCGTCCAATGGGTGCCAAGATTCGAATACATCGGGATTCCGACCACCGTCATTCCGCCCGCAGCCAGGTACCGAACCAGTGCCACGAAGGTCAGTGCAGACGCCGCGTACTGCTGATAGGAATCGATAATGTACATATAGGCCGAGAGGAAGATACAGATGACGCCGAAACCGACGGCGATCGAGGCGGCTAGTGGGGACCAAATCGCGATGGAAGGCTAGGGTTGTTAGTGCCATGCGTCTATGTTTGCGATTGGAAAGGACACTGTATGAGACATACATAGTCAGTCCATCCCATCCAGAAAAGACCGATCGGAATGGCTGGGGCTCCAATTTGCGCGAAGAAGAGACGCGACTCTCTGTCTATCATGCGACCGGACCCATCATCACCAGCGTCTCGCAACTGTTTGGCTGTTTTGCGATAAAGGATAGGGACGAGGACCATGCTGGTGAGGATCCCAATGAGAAGCCCCAGAAAGCAAATGTTGGCCAGGCCTTCGTTGATTCCGTATGTGTCGGCGAAGATATAGACATATCTAGGCGGGTTAGTGGGATCCGATGGATCGTCATGCAAACTAGTGGAAAGGTGCATACCCGTCCAGGAAAGTGAACAGGACAATGTAGACAACGGTCAAGTAAAACGTGAAGAAGATCACGATTGGCTCCATGAGGAGTAGCCAAGGACGAGTGAAGTTCCTCTTCAACACGGGCAGCAGACTTCCCGATCCCGAGGCCTCGCCGGCTGTCTTGAACCGCGCATCTCCGGTCGCTTCGCGGAAAAACTTGGCTTTGTAGTAGAGGAGCTGGGGTGCAAAGGTCTCGCGCTTGAATAGAAAGATGATGGCTATCACCAGGCCGTCAAAAATGAGCATGATCCATTCTGCCCACCTCCAACTGATGTGAGGACTGTAACCGATGTATGCTCCGACAACGGGCCCTGATTGATTCGATGGTGTTAGTTACACTCGACACCTACTACGTACGGTGGTGTGCAGTGGATGTTGCGCGATACACTATATCATACTCACCAAGGATAGGCCCGCCAAACCCCGGAATGGCAAAGATGGGAAACCCAAAAGTTTTCTCCAGCGTACTCCACACGTCGGAAATCGAACCACCCGCGACAGTCAGAGGCGCAGAACCACAGAGTCCCGCGAGAAAGCGGAAGACCAACTGTGACCCGAAGTTCGGAGCCAACGCAGCACCTAGAATCCAGGATCCGAAGATGATCAAGGCGCCAATGTAGACGGGGAATCGGCCGACAATTTCAGACATGGGACTGGCAATAAGCGCACCGACTCCGAAGCCGATAAGGTAGAGGCCAGTTGCGAGTGATTCGGCGACCTGGGAAACTCCAAAGTGCCGGGAAGCTTCGGTCAGAACGGCGGAATCGATGGCTGATGCCATGGTGGTGACCAAGGCGATCAGGCAGACACACATTGTGGAGGCGACTCGGCGGGCATGCGACCATTGCTGCGGGTTGAAGGGATCGTGGGTTGCCCAAGACACCTCATAGTACTTTTCACCGTTACAATCCGATTTCAAGAAAATTCCAGGGATTTGAGAGGGATCTCTGATCTTACTCGGTGGATGTCCAAGAGGCTGCGGCGATACTTGATCCGAGGAAGATGGCTCGTGCTGGGCACGACGGGCGTCATCAACCAGCTCGTTCACGTATCGACGCAAGCCCCGATATTGGTATATGAACGCCATGTTCTTTGGTGTTGACAGCAGTTGGGAGTCGTGTATAAACACGGAGTCCAGTCGAATATAAGGAGGAAGAAATTCCAGAATAGACGCGTTCGTTGAAGTGGAGTGGATTTATAATCCAGAATAGGCTAGATGGGGACCACAGCAGGTCAAGTTGGCAGTGGCCACTGAGAAGAAGCCATTCCCACTTTTCCCGGCCGAAAGCAGAAGATCTGCATGGCGGGTCATTCCGCCCTTTTTGGGCATCGACCGAACTGCTCGGGGTAACTTACTCCGCTGTTAATCAGGAAGAGTAGTCCGGCAACACCCAATCAGCGCAGTCACTGCTCTGACTGCAGTTCGGAGACTTATCGAGCTTACTGATACCTACATCTTGAACATTTTTCACGGAAGTGTTTGCCACTGTCAGTTCAGTGTATACTGCTGGATTTCCTGGAAACTGGGCGCTTTCATGAACGCAGGACGGGGGGCAAAAGAAGGAATTAATAAATAGATGGAAAAGATGCAAGCTTTTATTTCGACATCCTCCCTGCTGTTTGTCCCGTCATCCTGAAGCATCCCTTAGGGAAATTTTGGATGCACCATATGATGAGGAATCGTCTTGAAAATGTGAATTCAAGCGCGCGACAGATATATATAGCGGGTGGCTTCATAAGAGGCCAGTATCAGCGAGCTTCATACTGTTGTAACGCAGATGTATAGCCGGCAATAGTTCATACTTCTCCCGCATGTATCAACTTTGTATGTGCCCCCATTGGAGTACTACGCTGAGTACCGTGTCACATTAAGAAGAGTCAACCCTGACGACTACTTAGTACTCCGTATAAGAGACTCTTCTCTACCACCACAGCGGCAGAAAACCCGGCCCTGACCGCTTCACCTACCGCCTAAAGCGGCAGAACCTAGTCGACCTCGATGAGAAAAGTGCGGATATAAGCGGCTATTGAAGGATATACATTTTGTACAGCTCCGAAAAAGTGGCCATGAAATCTGTAAACTTTCTCACCGCCTTTCAGACTTGGCTGAAGACGGGCAGAATCTACTCTTGATCCATACAGTATCTCTACAAAGGATAAGACAAGTAGCCGATTTCTATTTACATTAACTACATCTGAATCTGTCCCTGTTGCGGGCTTGATATTCAATCACTTTGTCCGGGCTATGGTGCTGCTCGGTCGAGATCCCTTCTGCAACATCCATCAACTCACCAGCCCAGTTTCTTGGCCTCCTCTCCGCTCACATCGTCAGGAATATCCGTCACATATTGTAGAACTTTTGAAGTCGCTGGGATCCACTCCGGCCGACGCTTGGTCCACACCTCTGCCACCGGCTTGGGAATATCGTCAAAGAGACCGAACATGAGGACTGCTTGTGTTAATGTTACTGCTGAGACTCATACAGGGGAAGAGAGAGATATAGAGGGAGGACTGACGTGACTTTCCGGGCAAAACAGTCTCACTTCGATACATAATCGGACTGCACAGGACTCAGTCAGATAGGAGGCAGAGTGCCCTTATGCATGTACTGACCATCCACAGGTATAACAGAAATATCGATCCAATGGCCGGCCACAGGCGGTATTGGTGTCGAGAAATTTCTTGGGACTACCGGTCAAGACCATGTCTTTGTTCTCCACCACGACGACATAGGTGCCGGCTGGAGGATGCTCAAGTTAGACAATTTCCGGATCTGAAAGTAAACGAGAAGAAGGACAAGTGCGATGAATACCGGCGCCACTCTGCTTTCGACAATTAAGGCAGTAGCAAATCATCACGCCGCCCCCAGATGGTGTGGGATTGTCCATAGTGATGCGGATGCGGCCGCAGTTACAAGAGCCCTTGACGACCATGATGTGCCACGTTTGATGAACTCGTGGGTCATGGGAGTAGAAGGAAAGTAGGTACAGGTCGGCGGTTATTGGTTTCTAAGATGAAGTATCTGAAGTGCAGAAACTTGACTGTAAGAAGACTGGTGCCCGTTTTATGGCCTTCGGGGCGTACGGCGGTTGCCTGGGGTTGGCAATTGTAATAAGAAAACGTCAACAGGCAGGCCCTGTTTGTCCAAGAAGAGATAAAGAATACCCTCCTTGGCAATCTAGGGACTAGGTTCCAATCATTCTATAGACACTTAGTCTACTTGAAGATGCCCAATAAAGATTCAGCCAGGAAAGGTTAATTTATCCGGAGTCTAAATGTTGAACCATTAGCTAGGTCTAATACTAACTTTTAGAATTTATCCCTGTATGACGCATTGTATACAAGTAGGTCCCTGATTCCAAGTCCGTAATATTCAGTAATGAAGAAGAGGTGTACAGAGCATATGTACAGCATAGGTTAGGCCGTAGAATATGCCTGTATAGACACTTCTGAGTTTGATCAGGAATCGTCTGTTCATTAAGGTTTCTGCAGATTCAAGGAGTTTCACTACAGGACAAGGTACATTATCTGCAGAGCTGCTCCACTCAATAAGCAGTTGCACTAAGTCAAGAAGAATGTGCCATTTTGTTGATGGCAAGGAGCGGTCAGACATGCAAGCAAGGGCGGAGAGGTGCATATGCTGGCTCAATCCTCCGGACTATGTTGCGCAAGTCCAGACCTTCATGCAACTGCTGCTCCGCCTTGGTCTATACCCAGGCAAGGGGGATCATTCCGGTAAGGTGATGCAGGGTCACACTATGTCACAAACATCTGTGCGGGAATAATTCCCGTACAGATAGCTATATGCCTTGAATGTAATAATATAGTCGTAGAATAAGTACTGGTATTGTTGGAATAAATCGTCGAAACTCCGGATTCTAGACATAAACTTCACATTACACATTTACCATGCGCGAAGTCGTAAGAAGCGACCCTGAGCATCAAAGCCGCTCAGCTTGGGAACAACTGGCCGAGGCAGTGGAAAGACACCCTGACTATTTGGCACTAATCTGCGCGCACCAACGATCTGGTCTCTATGGGCTTGGAGACAAGAAAGAATATGGTCAATGGAGTTTTGGGGAGTTGTATGAAGGGATCATCCGCCTTTCTGCCTCGTTGGAGTTGCTGGGTCTATCGAGTGATTGTCTGCTTTTTGTGATCCTCGGTAACAGTTTGGAGCATGTCCTCACTACCTGGGCTGGATACAGACTTGGCTGCATCCATGTCTCCGTTCATCCCAATACGTTGTCCAACTCGGTGGAAGCCCGCCATGTCGTCCAAACCGTTCTCGATAACCGCCCCAGCTCAAAGGCCGCCGTCTTTGTTCAAGATAAAGCCGCGGCCGAACAATTTGATCAGCTATTTCCCCAGCTAGATGTGATCAAAATTGTCATCGGACATGGCCAGCCGGTTTCTTCTTCATGGACAAGTTTCGACCAGCTCATGCAATCTAGAGAAACCTCATCGGGCCCATCAACATTACCTCCGTCACGCGAAATATCCATCTTTTTCTCTAGCGGAACGACATCTCTGCCCAAGCCATGCAAGATGGATGTTCCTGCCTGGATCAGCTCTCTATCGAGTGGGTCAACTCTGGGCTTAGTCCGCCCAGGGGACCGACTAATGTCGCTTGTCCCATGTAGCCATGTGCTTGGCTATATGGGCCAAATGTTTGCCCTCACACATGGTGCTACACTCGTCTACCCTTCCTATTTGGCCTTTGATCCACATACGACGATCGATACTCTGCGCAATGTCCCCTGCAAATACATAGTCATGGTATCAGCGCTGGTGCATGCCTTCATCAGTGCGGACCTCAGCTCGAAGCCACTCCCTCCCATTGACACGGTAATTTTCTCAGGAATGACCCTCTCCACTGCCGTAGCCAAGGAATTCCAGTCCAGAGTGGGAACGCGAGCGATCGAGAATCTATATGGTATGACGGAGGGGGCATTTTGCGCCACCGGCCCAGTGGAAGACCTCGACAGTATCTCGCGCGACGGCTTCCTGGCCGCTGGGCGTCCTATGACAGGTTCGACACTGCGTCTTTGTGCTCCGAACAGCACGGAGCCTCTGGCACCTGGTGTGGCCGGAGAGGTGCACTACAGTGGCTACCAGACTGCTCGAGGTTATCTCGGCGTGCAGAGCGATTCATTCTACATTGATGCGAACGGATGTTGCTGGTACAAGACTGGCGATCAAGCTATCATGTACGAACCGAACGGTCTCGTCTATCCTGTTGGTCGGTATAAAGACCTCATCATCCGGGGTGGCAAGAACATATCGCCCTCTGCCATTGAGGCGGTACTCAACCAAGACCCGGAATTGCACCAGCTCGATCCTCAGGCCGTCCCTCTACCGGACGCTGTGGCAGGGGAGGTTCCGGTCATTATCGTAAATCGCGAGATTGCACAGCCGCAAGTGCAACACATTATGCATCTAATTCTCACACATATGGGTGCGGCGTATGTACCTGATAAGGTCATCCCTATCCAAACGCTTGGGGCCACGAACTATCCTCGCACGACCTCAGGCAAGGTGCAAAAGGTCAATCTCGCGGCCCTGATGCGTCAGTATGCTGCCGCCCAGTCCGAAGCCTCTGTGACATTGGCACCTAGCAATTCTAGAGAGATACGCAAGCGTGTGGTGCAGCTCTGGGCAGACGTCTTAGCGGCCACGACCGAAGAACTCGATGTGAAGGCGGCGCTTTCGGAACGCGTGGATAGCATCACCTTGATGCGCGTGCATTCCAGAGCGAGCAAGCTCACCGGAAGACATGTCCCATTTGCGGCTTGGGCAAGCGCCAAAACCATTGCGGACCAAATACTTCTTCTGGAGACCGCTGATGGTCAACCGGAAGACCCCTATCCTGCAGCTCACAATGACGGCCGCGCTCGGGCTGGGGGACCTGCATTGGAGGATATGGTGCACCTGATGGGCGACGGCGGCGGACTCTCCGCTACGCAGGTTTCGGTCCAACAAGCCATTGCACGCTATCGGCTCACTTGGGATGATGTTGAAGATATCTTCCCGGCCACTGATTTCCAACACATCATGCGCCAGGCTCACTTAATTGACTACTGGGAATTCTTCGTCTGCATACACACACGGAGTCATTCTGTTGCAGAGCTGCGCAAGGCCCTGGAGGTTACGTTACCTCTTCATCCCATGCTGCGATCCTTTGTTGTGCAAGGGGAGACATCCCAGACTCTGCTGGTGACCGTGCGCCCGTCACAATCGATTCTGAAGCGCTGCGTTGTGGACTACGGCGAGGTTGCGACATTGGCCGATGTGCACGACTTAGTGGTCAATTTTCCACAAGAGCATCGGATCGCATTACCAGGACCTTTGTTCTGCGGATTGATGGTGTACGTAAACGAGATAAAGAGTGCCGTCCTCGTTGCAGATTGTAAGTCCTTTCCCTGCTCGCCTTATTTATCTGTGGTGTCAGTGCTTATTTGTGTCTATTTGCAGTCTGCCATTCTGTCATGGATGCGACCTACCATGAAATATTTGAAGATGATCTGGAGCTCGCGCTGAGCGGGCAGCCACTTCGAGCGCATGCTTCATATAAAGCGTGGAATGAGAGCTATTACCTGCTGCAGGATGCTCTGGCTAGCCGTCCGGCTTTTGAGTATCATCTCTCGCAGATGCAGCAAGTGCCAGATGGTCCAGTAGCGCTATGGCCTACACCTAGTCGCCCACTGAGGACCTTATCCGGACAACGATCGGAAGGGTTATACCTGCTCGAGTTTCAGCTACCGGCGTTGATGTCTCTGCACCAGCACCATCCGACTTTGATGACATCAGTGGTCCTCAAGACAGCCCTCGCCCTGCTGGCCATCTTCCACACCAAGCACTCGGAGATGTTACTCCTCAATGTTGAAGCAGCACGGGGGCGATTCCCCTTTCTGCCGTCCTCCTTTCCGCGTGAAGGCCCGCTGGATGGGGCTCGCGTTGCCGGGCCTACACTGACAGGCAACGTAGAGCGGATCACCTATGACCCAAACGAGACAGTACTGCAATTACTTTATCGCGCCCAGGCCCAGCAGGCTCTGATAACGCGTTACGCGAACGCACCGTGGAGGCGCATTCTTGAGGATTTGCCTCGTATGAAAGAGTTGTATCCTGCAGTAGCTGATCACTTGATCTTCAACTGGACCGGGACGACGACCTTCAAAGCAGACGACAAGAGACGCCTGCACGAGCATATTCAACGGCAGGAGATCTTCTTTCAGCCTACTTGTGGCTTGATGGTCGATGCCGGTGCGTCCGGCAAGGACGGTACTGATCTCTGTGTCTCCCTCACTGGCGCGGTGGCGAATAACTCGCCTGACTGGATTCGTGACATTGCCCAGGGACTGCAGAAGATTACGACATGGCTGACGCAGGAGGAAAATTGGGGGCGTCCGGTTAGATTCTTTTCTGTGTGTCTTTAAAAATAGGGGTAGCGGTGTCTGGAATGATGCAAGACAAAGTTTACGGGGACGGATTAGGCGAGGAAATGTCCATAGCTGCTTTACAATCTTCCAATCCGAAACCATACAGCCTCCTACATTTAATGCTTCCTACTGCGCAACTAGTGTACCTCAGCCAGCACAAGTATTAATGCATGAATAGTTCTCACTCAATGTTGAAGAGTACATGTCCCTCAAACATGCGTCTGCAACGAGTCCTAAACTTATTACTTTGCCTGGAAACGGTGCAGAAGAGCTTTCGTCTGGATCATCCCCCTCACGGAGTGCTTGTAACAGATCATGACCTCGTGAACCTTATTATCCTACCCAGCAAGGCACAGAAAGAGCATTCGTCTGCTGTATCCCCAAGAAATTCAGCAAAGTTAAATACCTGATGAACACCAGAACGATTGTTGACTTTCAAAAGTCTCATCTCCATCAAACCCACCATGACCATCCCCAACGATAACTCCATTGATAACCAGTCAGCCCATCCGCGCCAAAGTACCTGCTACAACAGCAAGTATTTAGCAGAATACTACGACTTGTGGATTGGGAACTGGGAGGATGTCCAACTATATTCCCGTCTGCTCGCGGAGATGGTGTCCCGCAACATTTCCGCAAATCCAGTGAGGGTACTGGACGTGGGCACAGGCTCAGGGCGGATCATCCACGGCCTGGCGAGCGCCCAGCACCAGAAACAGGGCACCAAATGCCAGTCTGCAGTGCACTTCCTGGGCCTAGACAACGAACAGCATATGTTAGATCGAGCTCACCTCCTCACCGACCCATCCCATGTCGATCAAATGACCTGGGTGCTAGGTTCGGCAGAGGAATTGGGATCCTTGCCTGCCTTGCAGCATTCCGACGGGTCAGGTGGGCTCATCGACATGATAGTGTTTGCCTGCGGCAGTATCTGCCATCTATACGAAGCCGACCAAGGCAGCCGGTTCTTCGCGCAGATAGCCAAGGTTCTCAAGCCAACCACTGGGCGCGCGTACATCTCCGTGCTGAGAGCGCTCACCGACGGCGGCGAGCCGCTCGCCCGCGCTATGGAGCCCTCGGAGCCAATTGTCACGCCGAGCAAGGAATTCCCTGGCATCTTCTACCGTGAGACCTGGCCCGCACATGGACTCATCGGAAAAGTGTGGCATACTACTCGGCATATTGTTGTCTCGGAGAGGTTGGCGGATGGACAGGAGGTCGTCGTCGAAGACAACTTGGATAGTCGCAAAGTTGGAGTGTGGACTGAGGCCGATGTGAGGGCTCGTGCTGCTGCGGCTGGCTTGAAAGTGGTGGATATTTTGGACCATCAGAATGACTCTACCCATGGAGAGCGCATCTTCGTTCTAGGGACCCTTGCATGATATGGAAAGGGTCTGAAATGAGACATTCCCTGTACCTGGTGAGAGGAAGAACCTATGACCTTGGACAAAGTCAGGTAAAAGGGGATGTTGGGTAGCATATAGTCTAGCCAAAATGTCGACCCTTTACATTACTGAACGTGAATGGTTAGGACCTAGTTGTAAAGAGCTCTTCTTCAGTCAGTAGTAAATGATCTCACTATAAGCTGGAGCGATTTTCCTCGATGATACTCGTTGTCTAGAATAGGTATTGAGTAGATGACCTCCATCCACAGGGTCTTCTGAAGACATCTTTGGGTGTATCTCAATAGGATACCACGACACAGTAAAGGAGCGATCTATGACTTTTGGCTAGTTTCATTCAAACAGACAAATCCTCGTATAGCCTGGTTCATTCCTATCGCGTCATTAAGTAAGGGCAGTGTAATTGAAGGAAAAATATACTTAGAGCCAATGTTTATTGTGTGAGTAATGCGTTTCTGGTTTATCAAAAAGTTCCATTCTATAAAGCTACCCTAGTATATATATGGTCCCAGATCTAAGCCTTTGCAGCGACAAATGAGCTCCCCGCGGTTATTTTCTCAGCTAGAATCCTCACAGGCTGGGAGCTGAGGAGCTCGAAGGAAGACAATGCAGCCCCTAATTCGCGACTGACCCAAGTCTGCATTTCCGTCGCTTTGAGCGAATCCACTAGAATTATTAGCCGTTAGCATACATATACAATATCATCTAAAGGGAAAAGAAGCGGAGAACCAACCTCCCAAAGCAGACAAAGGCAAGTCGAGATCGACAGAATCAGGAGCAGCGCCCATTGCCCGAGCCAGATAGGTTTGCAAAGCCTGGCTAACGAGCGAGATCGATTCGTCTATTGAGTCAGCTCGTTTGAGTAGAACGCTCGTCTTGACGGGGCCCGTAACAGCTTGGGCTACAGGATCGGCGATCCGAGCACGGTGATCGAACTTGCGGTCCAATTGCCAGGGACTGCCGCCGTCTTCACGCGGCAGAACATCAATCAACCCGGCAATTATCTGAGCAGGCGGTGTAGGTTGCATCTGGCCTTGGACGAGGAGACGAATAAGGGTCTGCACCTCTGCCTGTGAGATCTCGGTCCCCAAGACGTGTCGATACCGCTGACGACGCTGCTCAGCAGACTCAGCCACATCTGTCACGCCGCTGGCGTCTTCAACGAGCCCCAGGTTGATACTACAACCGGCGAGGTTATGTTGGTGCCGCCACTCCATTAGGGCATCCATGAAAGCATTGCCCGCAGCATAATTGGCCTGGCCCATGTTGCCGATAACACTGCTGATTGAGGAGAGAGTGATGAAGAAGTCCAGCGGCCGTGTGGCTTGGAACGCCTGGTGCAGATTCCACGTGCCTTGGATCTTAGCCCGTGTTGACTGTTGCCAGGATTCCCAGTCCATCTGGTCGAACATCGCATCTTTGAGAACGGTGGCACACTGGATGATGCCACGGATGCGCCAGTTGTGGTAGTCTGCGTGCGTCAGGAGTTGCTTCACGTCATGTTCGGAGGCAACATCGCAGCGTATCACCTCCGTTCGGGCTCCACGTGCGCGCAGTGCATCCAGAGCGGCTTGTTGACTTGGCTGTGTTGCTCCAGAGCGACTTGAAAAAACAATGTGACGGGCCCCGCTGTCTACCAGAGCGCTGGCTAGAGAGAGTCCGATTGTGCCCAGTCCTCCAATTAGAAGGTAGGTGTTCTCACTGGGTAGCGGCCTTGGCTCGGGTTGAACAGGTCTCACTGCCACGAGACCTGGCGCCTGGAGGTCAAGGATGACCCGGGTGCCGGAATGCCTCGCATGAGAGATAGCCTCGTCCACCTGTGAAACTGGAAAAACAGGATAGGATGCCACCTGCACGAGAGACTTATGTCCTGCGATGAGATCGACAGCTCGGTGGAAATTAGCCTGTATCAGGCGCGGAGTATCCCTAAACATCCGAGACAGAGAGAGTGAGGTGACTGTGCAGCCCTGCTCTAAGATCTTCTGGGGTAGCGCCGAGAGTTGCAGGTCCCCACTCAGGTCAATATACCGACCCCCAGGCGCCAGACAAGACGCTGCTTGTCGGCTAGCTGCTCCCGCGAGGTTACAGACGGTGAGCTCGACTCCTCTGCCGCTAGTCAAACGGGCGATGGTGGTTGGAAGTGACCGATGGAGGGAGATAATCCGGTCTTTTAAGACGGGGTACTGGGCACGTAACTCCTCTACAGCACCATCCACGGCAACAAACACCTGCATCCTTGCCGCTAAGGCACAGTGTACAGTGGCCCTGAGTGTCTGATTAACAGAGCCCACAATCAGAACAGAGCCGGATACTTGATGCATTCCATTGACAAGACTGGTATAGGCGGTAGAGTACGCGATCGGCATGGAAAGAGATTGCGCGGGGCCTTGCTGCGGAGGACAAGTCCAGACAGAGCTCTCGGGCAAACGAACCCGAGTGGATATGGTCTGGCCAGGTATCACACACAGCACCGTCTCTCCAACCGAAAAGACCGATATCAGAGACTGTCCGACCTGGCAAACAGTGCCCAAGGCCTCTGTCAATGGGACGCGAGCCTCTGTGGTCTTTGCTGTTGTAGAGGGAAGTGAAATAGCATGAAGATGAACTTCTACTTCATCCTCCGCTATCGCAGTGGCTAGTCGGTCGTCCAATTGCCATTGCGCTCCCTCAAGATCGGATGACTTGCTGTGTAGACGCAGCGGTCGGGTGTCCTCCGCCAACTCAGCCAGTATGGGTTTCGGGCCATGTACAGCTGCTTCCATCGCATCGTCCAATGGAGAGTATGCAATTGCGCGTGGTACATGCAAGCGGCCGTCGCGCAGTAAGTACTCGTAATCCTGGGGACGCGACCGCGACTGGTGGCTTAGTCGTAGAAGACGTGCAATGCTACGGCCAAGATGACCAGGATCCCGCGCAACATCCTTCTCCTCTATTAGAAGCTGAGGTAGGTCCAGGTTGGGGTTTTCGTTCCGCAGAGTCCGTAACAGCCCGGTTGTGGCACCAGTAGCCGCATAAGAGGCGGCTGTGTCCAGTGCTGCGGGCGACACCCAGAGTATGTATTTCGCCTGAACCAGCGTGCGCATGCATTCCATATCTGCGGGAGTCCACTGGAGCGTCCATGACTCGTGCAGTTCCAACAACGAAATAACCTGCTTGTCCTTCAACTTTGATACCTCATGGGGGCTTACTCTCTCCACCCGGGCGCCCCGCTCCTCGATCAAGGGGATGAGCTCCTGTAACAGAGCATTGAAAATGTCAGCTGGCTCGGGCGCCAGGACGTAGATGATAGGGTCTAGTAACGAAGAAGCTTCATCTCGCCGGTGGATAAGTAGTGAGTTTGTCTGAGAAACTATCCCGTGTACCTTCCAGTCGGCATGTCTGTCAAGATTTTCAGTGACCTCATCCTGCATACCCGCTGGGATGGACGCAATTATCCAGCCATCTGGTTGGGCGACTCTGTTAATATCATCCAAAAGGGGAAAGCCTTGTCTGCCAGTCCACAGGTCGGGGTGATCCAGTAGGACGGCGTCGTATGCTCCTTCGTCTGGCAGGGACGAAGCTACCTCCTCAAGGTTGAGCACAGAGAGTAGTTGGCAGTTTGGTAGTATTTGCTGTAAAGCCTGTACCCGCGCACTCGAACCATCTGGACTTATATCTACTAAGATGACCGTTAGCTGTTGCAGCTGGGGCCGGTATTTGCCAGTTGGGACGATCTCCTGGAGAGCCGGCACCAGGTGGTCAAAGCGGCTCTCTGCTGCCACCACCAGCATGCGTGCATCGCCATGAGTATGGCACACGCTTCTAAGCCATGATGAGAGTGTACCACCACAATGCTCGGCCCAGGAATCCACATGCTCGGCCCAGACTAGTGATGAGAACCGGCTCTGGGGAATGTTTTCAACTGCAGCAGACGGGTGGGACTGTATTGGGACCCGACCAAGTCGGACGCCTTGCAGTACGAGGCCAGGGTGTGACCAGGTGGGGTGCGATGCAACAACCTCTGATCGAGAAATGCCTTCCTCGTCCCAGTGGGTTTCCACATGAAGATTGAATTGCTCCCCAGGTGAGGGTGAAAAGCGGGTGGACATGTAGAGTCGGTCTACCGCAATGGGGATCTGAGCATTCTGGTTTGACAGTGCCTCGGAACAGGAGAGTACAGCAGCCTGGAACAGCGAATCCAGAGATGATGGATGAAGAAAGTACGGCGATTCCTGCTCATGGGGCATGGTACTTTTAGTATCCGTTACAATCACTGATGCAAACAGGCGAGACTGTGTGGGATGGAAGAAAACCCTCTGCATCGTTCGGAAGGTCGGACCCATGGTGACACCTCCAGTCTCAGACAACCAGCCATAAACCGCCTCACTACCCACTGCCAGGTTCGCCGCAGTTTGTGTCTGTCGAGCTTGTTGGACCGTCCGCGCCCAGTTCAATGCGGTGGTGCTGTCCTCCATTTGTTCTTCTTCTCCCGCATAATCCATTGTAAAGCTACCCTTTGCGTGTTGAACCCATGGGGATCCCTCTGGCCGAGAAAAGATGCCGAACTGGTACCAGCCAGCCACGGCATGAGGGGCCACATGAAGTAAAATCTCAAGTCCGTTTTCCTCAGAAGGAATAACCATGCCTCGGAAAAATTCCAAATCATGAAACTCAATGCCGGCCAGGGTCACAGACTCGGTCAACTGACGTGCGGCCTCAGCTACTATCGCCACCATCCCTGCCGCAGGCAAGACAATGGAGCCTGCCACGATATGGTCAGCCAGCCATGGATGCTCCGAGAGGCGTAGAAAATTCCGCCATCGAGGCTCAATATTATTCTGATAATCACAGGCGACCCCAAGTAAATCATGGCGAGGCTGGGCACGTTGGCGTAACTGACTTGATTCATACGGTTCATGCCAGTACCTGGACTGATGATTCCAAGCATAAGACGGAAGGAGCGCCTGGCTCAACTGTGGCTTATAATCGCCAAGCAGGCT